ACCTAGTTGTTGCGCATTTTATCGCAGTACAGTAGTTCAAGATTCCGTGATTGTAAGTAGGACGACGAAGGCCTATAGTTATCTGAATATGAAAACTCCTTACCTTACGGATCAGATACTCCGTGCCTGTTTGCCTACCCACGAATGCCGCCATCTACTGTACCAGGCACTGGTCATCAAATTCCCATGTCCTGTACGTGTATTCTACACACGCGGAAGGACATGCCGTGGTCGAGCCAAAGCGACTTGTTGTAGCTGCACCGGAAAATAAACGTCCATCTCCACCATTTTGCGGATATTAATGTGGCAATGCCTCTGAGAAACTCCTTTTATTAACCTCGCAGGAGTGACAAAGTTAAGCCCACTCTGGCTTTTTTTATTCCAATCAAAAAGTATCAGGGTTCCCAACGAAGCTGAACAAAACTGGAACTCCGGCGCTCGCGGTTCGTCAGTGGCCAAAACAACGCGTCCAGCAATGCTCCGATCCATCAGAAACAGGAAAACAAGGATTTGACCTGGTGCCATCCTACCATATAACACATGACCTGGTATTACTTTTTCTCAGAACTTGTCGAAGAGATCGCGAGCACCACGACGAAACTCGCAATGATGAGGGAACCCGTGATAAAAGACACAGCAAAGATGCTTCCTCGGCTTGCTGGAAATTTGCCGCGAATAATCCAGTGCTGGGCTTCAAAGTAGCGATGGAAGCCGATAAACAGAATCACAATCGATATGGCAATGAATGTGGCTCCAAGCGGCTTTCCGACATGGCGCAGTTTCGTGGCAGCAATGTTATTTAATGCGATGGTCTCCGCGCCATTTTCGCTCGAATAGTCATTGACAGTATCAGCTTTGCCTAGCCCGCGTGGCGGAAGGAGAAGTAGTTGGTCTAGGAGAGTAGGACCGAGGGTCGGATTCGACGGTGGCGTTTCAGCAACTGATGCTGCCAACTGTTGGAGAAATGGCAGTAGCTCGGCTGGCATGGAGTGTCCAACAAGGGGCGAAAGGGGTATCGTTTGTCGTATGCTGAGAGACTCACTGCGACTCTGGATCGTGGTGTTGAGGCGAAAGAGCTGGGTAATGGCAATGCCGATGCTCGCAAAGGCTAGGCTGGTCCTCAGCCAGGCGAGGAAGGTTCTCTCTAGAGCAAGATGGTCCCGGGCCACAGATCCCTTATTCTCCAATGTGACCGAACCATATTTTTCAGGAATTTTTTTCAACCACTGTGGTGCCCAGAAATGTTTGGAGTCTTTCTGCCCATCATCTTGATCGTCCTCCGGCCCGGAGCCTGCAAGGGTGGAGGAGCCGAGGGTTGAAGAACCTAGGGTGCTTTGGGGAGTCCCTTCGTCGGTGGTGTTATACCGTCGATCCGACTGTCCGTTCGCCGTTCGAATGGGAGTGATCTCGTCCGACTCGCTGGGGTTTCGACGATAGGATGACATGGGTGTTTGAGAATGCGACTTGGTACTCTCAGAAAATCGAATGCTAGATTGCCGCCTCGGAGGAAGCGACTGCGCTGCAGACTCTGCAGTTATGTCTGAAGAAGAAGAGAGGGATTCTGGGTCACCATTATCGTCGTGCTTCAGCGCTGCCATGGCCTCATAGCTTGGTGGGGAAACATATGGTATCCGCAGCCTCGGAACCGGGATGGTTCATATCAACGAGTCTGGATCACGATTCTAGTTAGTGGTCCTTGGAATGTGAGACCGATAGCTCTTCCGGTACTGGGAGACTGGGAGATATTGAGCTGTGGGGAGTAGAACCAATAGTTAGTTATTCACAGTCCCGAAGTGAAGAGACTGTTCCAGGGAGCTCACTAGAGCGAATGAGCTTCGATCATGGAGTCTTGGGGGGAATATTTCGGGGCAGTTGGCAAAATGGCGTAAGCTGTGAGTGTTGTGCAAGAGTCCAGGTTATGGCGTGATAGAGATAAGGGAGCACGACAGCATTGTGGTGAAGTGTGTTTTGGCACAAGCTTCAGCGGTCGAGACTTTCGGGACAAGAGCTCCTGGTCTTTGATAGTTTGAAACTGTCATCCTGCGGAGTACTCGTAGGGTACGTGGGTACCCAGGGCCGGCCAGACCTGTTGTGCCTGTCCAGCGAATAACACGCATAGCGTACCTTTAGGCGGTGTGTCTGCAGCGATGATATCATTTTGTTATGTAAGTTTCGCCCACTAGCGGATGCTCTTTTGATGGGGAAGCAGCACGCAAGCCTGTGAGCAGGTGCAGGAACACTGCCGCGGATTTCGCTGCACTTCGGGGACACGGGGAGCACCTTGCCGAATAGACCTGGCTAGGTTAGGTACTGTGATATCTACCACGCCTACTTCAGGCGAGCATCACGAAGAATACCCAACTGGACACCTTCAAAACCCCATCCAACAATCTCTCTAGGAAATAACTGCCTAACATTGTAGTTAAGATGATATTTAAAGATCCTCGCCTCGACACTATCGACGGCAGCATGTTTTGCGTGATTGGGGGTGGGATTTTGCCATAGAGGGTACGAGGTACACTCTTCAGAGAGAAGGTCTATGGCATCGTGTCGAGAATCTCTATAAAGACCATTAGATTTTGGGGTTTACCAAAGTCAAGGCGGACAGATATCAGATATGTAGCATGGGATTTCAGCCAACACTATTCGTGTATGTCACCTTGCCGCCGTTAAGTACAGTCGCGGGGTAAAATCCTCAAGCAATTCCCGGGTGTTGGTGGGCCCGCTTACAGCTTTCACGCCACCCGCGAAATTCCCCCCTTCTGACAATGCTTAATATGGCCAGCAAAACGAACTCTAGGGTCTCATTCCTGCTTGCTCTGTTGTTCCAAATGCCTTAGCTCACCATGACGTTGGAGGTATCATCCAAAGACATCAATGCCGACGCCGACGGCGGGCACGGAAGGGCGCCTCATACAATTCCAAAGTTGATTCCTGGTTCTCGAAGAAAGTCTGCTCAGCAATCTAGCTCATCAGAACTTGCCCCCCAAACACCTACATTACCCGCTCCTCCGTTGATCGGATCTATACATTTCACCACGCCAGTCAAGAGAATCCTGTCGCCGGGTGACCATGAAAAGTTCCTCGCCTCATCAACCTACGTGCTGATACTGGCATGGATCTTTACCCTCGCTGATTGCGTTCGCGGCCGTCGAATTTCCGCGCTGGACACTCAGAATTTGTCAACCACCATCAAGAACCTCGATGCCGTGCTTGACCACCTGGAAGGAATGTTAAAACAGTATCCGCCTCTCGACACGGGATCGAGATTTGGCAATCCGGTCTTTCGCAGTTTGCACAAAGCCATTGTAAGAGATGTGGACAGAATACACAAGGACATATTGGGGCTGCATAATGAGGATGCCATCAAAGAGATATCTGTCTATCTGATCAACTCATTTGGTTCTGAGGAGCGACTTGATTATGGGTCGGGGCACGAGCTGAATTTCATGATGTGGTTACTGTGTCTATACCAGCTGAAGCAGATCGAACGAGAAGACTTTCAGGCAATCGTACTGCACACTTTCGTCCGATACCTGAACCTCATGCGAAAGATCCAGGGCACATACTACTTGGAACCTGCAGGAAGCCATGGAGTTTGGGGCCTTGACGACTATCAATTCTTGCCCTTCTTGTTTGGAGCAAGCCAGCTCGTCGGGCACCCGTATATCACGCCCAGGTCGATCCACAACAATGTTGTTCTGGACGAGGAAGGCGACGACTACATATACCTCAACCAAGTCCGATGGGTGGATAGCGTCAAGACTGTCAAGGGACTGCGCTGGCACAGCCCCATGCTAGACGATATCTCGGGGGCAAAGAGCTGGCAAAAGGTGGAAGACGGCATGAGAAAGATGTTCGTCAAGGAAGTGCTAGGCAAGTTGCCCATCATGCAGCACTTTCTATTTGGAGGCCTAATCCCGGGCACTGAGGATATGGGCCAACTGGACGAGGAGACACTGCGGGCTCAGGCGCAGAGAATGCAGCATGTGAAGGAATATGGGCACGAGCCCGACTACTGGGGCGACTGCTGTGGTATAAAGGTGCCCAGCACGGTAGCAGCAGGCGAAGAAATGAGGAAGCGCATGGGCACGTCGGGCGCACTCCGCCCAATACCTTTTGATTGAGAGGCCCGCGGGTGCATCTGCAGGGCCACGAACACGCCACTGTGTGGTGAGGGAATGGGCGAATCAAACAGTCAGAAGCTATACCGCGGCCAGGCAGCAAATGGTTGGTCCAACAGGTGATGTGGAGACACTGGGCGAGCTCTGACCGGTTACCGTCAACTCTTGATTTTCTCCGAGCGCTTCCTTTGGAACACATCCTCAGTTCTTGCTGGCCCTGGTACTATTGGCCCAAACGACGAAACCAGCTCCGACCAACACTGAAGGGGATGAGGGGTCTTGACTATCACAAGAAGAGGAGAGGGGCTGGGGAAGCTTGGACATGCGGACGCCTCGCCTCATGGAGACGAGACTCTGAGAATCTGCCTGACCAGACCGTGCTACAAGGATGTGGTGATCCGCGTAGTCTTAACTTTGCCGTGGTTCACATGTGCTAGCTAATATTGTGGTGCAGTCCAGTATGCGCACAGCTTCTTCTGGGCAATGATTGACAGACGATTTGAACGGTTGCTTTTCAGCCTTGCCTGGTTCCCAAATGCCAGTCACAGCCAACGTCCCACTAGCTCATCAAAGAGACAATTGGCATCCCGACCAACGAGGCAAACCCCTCCTTGAGTTCCATCCAGTGTTGAACTGAGGTGCTCCCTCATCTTTTGACCACTTCACCTTTCGTCTTCACTCTCACTTCTTCCTTTGTAACTATGTGAAGTGTTTGGTCAGGCCAGTGTTAAGTTTCTGCAAAGCTCCCTCGAGCACATCTCGGTCCCGGTTTTTTCTGTCCTTACACCACGTCTAACCCTCACTGTCGGTTTGTAACCCCTCCCTCACAGCAACCCTATCGCAGAACCCCTCCATCCCCCGGGAACCTCAACCAAGATGGGGAAGAAATCCAACAGATTCTTGAGCTTCACCACACCTCCACCGCTGTCCAGACACCCATGGATCTATGTGAATGATCCGACAACCAACACCCCCCATGCCACCAGTCTCCAGGACTTGATTGGTGACTGTATCGTCTCCCATCACACCCGGCACGACGGTGACCTCTCCTCGACGCAAGAATCGGAGACTGAGAAGATGGCTGTCTGTCTTGATATGCTCAAGGACGACACCTTCAGCGCCGGCCAGAACGTTTTTCTCATTACGGAGCATCTCGCCGACTCTAAGACTGCTGATAAGCTCGAGACTGCCACGAAGTTCCGCGAGCAGGCTATCAAGGGTGGACGCAACTTTGCCAGCGTGAATCTTTATCTTCAGGACGGGACAAAGAAGAAGGAGAAGGCCAAATGGGGCCCGAATCATCTAGAGCTGGGTATCACAAATATGACCGTCAAGGAAGTCGCGCAAGAGATCTACCAATGGCTATGTATGGACCTCCCCGCCGCTCCCCTTACAATCGATTTTTTTTTCGTATACTGGCTTTGAACTTACATATATCCGCGTCGCTTTCAGTCACTGTCTTGTCCCCGGCCGAGCACGTCCACCTCATCCCACGCGCCAGATTGCTCGCCGTCGATAAGCGTAATTTCGCCGACTACGCATACTGCCCAATCGCCGACACCAAGAGCCGCCCGATGGATGCCAAGATCCAGTTCGTTGTTGTCATCATTACGAAGCCCGTCGTGGTTCCGAACACCCAACGTCTCCAATGGACCGTGGCCGACAAGTCAGGCATGGTGAGTTCAACGACGCTCCAGTCACGTTTCCTCGCGGGGAACTGACCATAGCTGCTGCATAGGGAAATTTCTACTTCCAATACCGCGGTGACACCTCGCAGTACACCTGGGATTGGGTTCTTGCCCTCAAACCAGGAGACGTCAAAGCCCTCCCGCGCATGCCGATGGTTCAAGTCAAGGAATCACGTCACCTGCGGTTCGCTAAATTCCCGCTGCGTACCGCAGGTTCCGCCATGACGGGGATTGGTCTAGCGCTCAAGACCGTGGGTCACGGCGTGGCCAAGCTCGGCGACATCACGTCCATGGGTAAGTCGTCGGAATGGGTCCCTTCGGGCGACGTCGTCGTCGACGGAAAGGACGGCAAGGTCAAGAAGATCGATTGGGCGGCCAAATTTGCGCAGGAGAGCAAGGACCGCAAGGCAAAGTTTGAGGAGACGCAACGTGGACGCTGTGCCAAGTTGAAGGCCGCCATTAAAAAGCATGGTCTGCCGAAAGAAAAGGATGGGGAGAGTATGGGAGACTCGAGCACGTTGAGAGGCAGCGAGTATGAGAACGAAAAGGCCATTGTGTCAGAGAAGGAGTTTTGCTGAAGGCCTCCTGCAACAAGCAAAATAGGCCCATTCGTGTGGACGCTGCCAATGGGTGAGCACATGGGAGTGTCAGAAAGTCAGTGTTTCTAGGTTGCTGAGGAGTTGTTTGCAGTGGAGGTTGGCTCGCCAGTCTACTGATTCTGCTTGCTCCACGCTTTGTGCTGCATGACAAACAAAGCACGAGGTCCAAATCTTACATGGACTGCAAACTCGGAGAGGAAGATCGAGCAGAGTCGTCCCGCCTGGGAAATCCGTCAGAATAATAATAAGTAATACGTTTCCGGCGAACGGGGTTTCAAACAGGCCGGCCAAGCGTCATCTACACAATAATCAAGCTGAATACCAAGTAGTTCAAGGGCGGTGGTGGCTGGTGGTAATTTGATTCCCTGCAGTACACATTAAACGAAAGTGCATTTCACTCGGGAACAGGAACCTACCACCCAAAAGCTCTTGTGAGTGAATATCTTGTTATTAAAAGGGAATTAAATACCCAGGATAGTATGGCGGGCGGATGGGCGGGTGATGCGAGATGCATTCCTGTAGGTACACAGCCACCCTCCTCGCCCCTCGCTTTTGCGTTCTCGTGACAGGTTCGTAATGTTGGAATTCCTCAGCTGGCTAACGCCCCCAACCAAGGACTGGCCGATTACCTACCTGGCTGGGCATCCATCGCACGAGTACTTCCAAGTCATCGGGCAGCTGAGGTCGGTGGACCACCAAGGAACGGTTGGGTGGAGGACATCCATCCGCGCGCGGGCGAGACAGAGATACAGAGAGAGTGGGAGCTAAGATGTCAGTTCCTTCGCCCTGGGCACTTGCAGCAAACTTACTGCGTGTCTCTTTTTAGGCTAGTGAGGCATATTTTACGTATTTGGTCCCTGTCTGTAGACGCACCGCATATCCAAAGAATCGGAAAATCCATCCTCGACGGATAACAGTGAACGATACGCAGCAAAAGACCATGTCAACATTGTTCCGGAAAATGTAATAGATACAAGTCACAAAGTACCTCTCCAGAACCACACAGAAGTACTGACTATAGCCTCCGAAGTTCCTCCTCCTCTTGCGGTGGCGTCCCCCCAAAAATCTTCTCAGACGCCGTGTCCTGTATCCTTAGCTCAAACACCCCCCCCCCCCCCCCCGGATAAAAGTCCGTTCCGTCCACCGTCGTTCACTCGTTCGCTTCATTCATATCGTCCATCCCTCGTTGTAACAATCATACATCAGAGACACCGGTGTCTCCTCCGACCAAACACCAACCTGGATGCCTTTCCACACATAGAATGTTAATGGATAACCAAACTCTCCTGGAGCCCACAGATGCCTGCCGGTTAGCATCTTGGCATGCATTGCATTGCTGAATATTGTATATTCTTGACTGGAACAAGCTTGCAGGGACTGATGCTCAATGGCCTGCATCAATGCAAAGACCACGTGATGCCTTGTGCAGCCTTGCCTGAGGCTCAAAAACGCCTGGGGAATCAATGCATTGCTGCAAACACCAAAAAAATCCTTCGTTCCTGCCGAATCAATACCTTGGGGGGCTGTACCCGTACATCGGGGCGCGTGTGACAATATTAACTGGGCCGATGCCGTAAGGGGTATAAGAGTGAGGTGAGGGTGATTTGATGCTCACGACGCGTGGCGGTGGAGATGATGGAGGGTAGGCGTAGGGTTCGGTTTTTGCTCCACGGTATCCATTGGATGCCCGAGAGCCATATGAGCCACCATATCCCGAATCGTGGACATCATTGTACTCGTACGCCGTGTAAGTGGTGGGCGCAGGAGTATGCTTTCGAGCCGATGAGCGGGAGCTGCGAAGACTGTCGAAACTGTCTTGACTGTCCTGTCTCCGTCGACGGTAGGCGCTTCTGCTGCGTATTTCGACAGGAAGACTTCTGCCCGATTCCTCGTGCCGATGACGTCTCTCATGGCTGTCCCCACGAGCGTAGTGAACATCATCATCCACCAAGTAGATCCGGGTATGCTGTCGACGAGAAGGATGATGGGTTGGGGATCCGCGACCAGAAGGAGGACTATCCGGCAGAGACTCCCGGATGCTTTGTAGATCTAGGTTTCGCTCTGCGTGCTCCTGCAACCAGGCATCGTCCGCCTTTTGCCTGGAATGGCTGTTCCATTCCTTTTCTCGCGCTGATGGAGGCGCCCACGGACTGATTCCGTCGCCAACTTCATCGTTGCCCGGCAGCTCGTCGATCGAAGCTTCATCATCTTCCCTCGAGTGTCTTCGCCTGTTGATTTCTTGTCCATATCTGCCTTGACCGTCTCGCCCTCGTGTTACTGCGCTGCCCGCTTCTTTGCAGGCTCGGCAGTCACCACTCTTGGGGTAATGATATCTCTCGAGACCTAGACAATGGGAAGAGTGGCACTTGGCGGTGGTCTTGTATTCGCATCCGCAACCGTACGAGGTCTTCGTACGCACACACATTGCTTGGAGGTGAGTGGAAAGCGGATTTCGAGGCTCGAGATGTTCCTTTGAATGGCCAGATGATATTTTCGTCCCTGTGTTGCGTGGCGTGGAGCAGGTCAAATCTTTATGCACCGATTGCCCAGGTCACAGAGGTGGTGCAAGCGTCTTGCTTCACAAAATCAGGCACAGAAGGAAGGGCTCAGGTACGAAGAAAGCGGTGAAGCGTCTGTGTCAACGTCTAGAACAAGTGTACACTCAATGTACACTGCAATTGCGGGACTCAAAAGAAGCACAGAGGTCACACAAAGCAAGTCTCAATAGATGCTAGGCGTGACGTCGAAATACTTTCGAGACCCCGTCGGTTTTGTTATTCTCGCTGTTGCACTTCATGGGTGACAGATTCTGTCTCACGTCGGAGAAAGGAAACGTGCATGAGATGAAAGAGGAAGAAATAGTTGTGACAAGAGTGATCAGAAATGGATCTGAGAGCTTTGTAAAAAAACAAAAAAGTACGGCTGGTACTTGCGGTGTGAAGTAGTGGGAATGTGACAGGTAAAGAAAGAGGGCCTGTGGTGGGCAGAGTGGTGATATCCTCATGCCAGAATTGCGCGAAAAATGAGGGAGAGTCGAAGGCTGGAAGAGGCGGACTAGCTAGCCTTTCACAGGCAAGACTTCGGTCCAGCTGCATGATGCAGAATCCCTCTCCATCTCGCCTCAGATTCGAGCTGCAAAGGACGACGTATGCGAAGAAAACGCATGGCTCGAACAATGTTGTAGCTAGGAAGCCGGGCTCGAGCGGGCGGTCGAGGTGCATGCGACGGTGCTGAGTAGGAGTCCATCTTCGGCATTTTTGGATTGGTGCTTGGGCCAATGCAGGCACCTTGTGGAACGGGACTGCGGACCTCAACGCCCGAGGAAGCAGGGGAAACGAGCCAGTGTGAGAGATGGTCGGCTACAGGCCGTCGCTGACTGGCCGATGCGACGGTTCCTCGCCCTGTTACAGGTGGTTTCATCTCGGTGGCGCCCGCCCCAATTGCCTCAGTCGGCCGTCCTTGCGGTGCCCGTTCTAGCAAGTAGGTCAATCCGCCTTTTTTGCCTCGTTGATCCATTTTCCCAGCCTGCAGGTCTCATTGCTTTCTGGCCCGCGCCCCACCGCCAACTGTAGCTGACATTGGGCGGAGGTGCTGATCTTGGGGCTGCGAATTGGGAGAGCGTGCAGACGGGGAAGCCCAGTTGCGAGAGTCCTCTCACAGCAATCTGGCACCATGAGCTGCGCCGGCGCAGTCATCATTCGCAGTCTGTACCTCCACGTTGCACGGAGCCATTGGAGTGGGAAAAAAATCGAGCAGAAATGCTGACCGTTGCCTTGAATTCTAGCCACTGATAGTTTGGGAATTTCCTCGCGCAGTCTGAATTGGTGATATTTCTGCCGCTCGTCAGGAGGAGATCGTTGGAAGAAGAGGATCTAGGCGTGGGGTGCTCATCGGCATCGACTTCTGACTGCAGATTCCGATGGACTGATGAAAGGACGCAAGTGGAGGTGAAGCGGCACGACCATTGGTTTCGAAGCCTTCATCCGCTGCCCAGCACCTCCTCTTTCCTGATGTATTTCTCCCTCATCGCGTGGTCCAGAAAGAGCCTTCCACCAGTCAGTTTATAGACGGCCTCCTCTTGAGCTCTGGGGCCCTGCGCCGGGACCACTAGGCATGGCAGGAGACCTCAGCTGCGCAATCATTGCTCGACGACGGAGTAACAGCCCGCGGATGCATCGGCAAGGTTTGTCAGTAACCCGACTCTCTTCTGACCATCTAGCACTCATTGTGTGTTCGAAATATTTGCTGGTTGGGTGGCATCGAGGAAATGCCAGCCTAGCTGCAGAGTTCCGAGGGACTGCTAGGTCAGATGAGTGCCATGCGGTGCATTTCTATCGAACTCATGTTCGTGGGAGAGAAGGAAGTGAAACCCCTCAGGTTCATTGAGAAGATTTGTCGGTGACGGTGTGTCGACCGTGCATGGAATGGCCATGTCGCGTGCTCTGGACCTGGTGCGAGTTGACCGAGTTGGAAAGTCACAATGAATGGGGGGAAAGCAAGCCTGGGCTTCTCTTTCGTTCTCGAATCGTCGATGGAGTGATGGATGTCACCCACAGGTGTTTGACAACACTACCTTTGTCTTGTCTGCCCACTGTAACCCTCTGCGTTCTATGTACTCGGGAGATGATGATCCGTCTTCTACCCTCTACGTTTCTACATTTGCCACCCGACCTCTGCGACCAACTTTGTTCGGGGATTCAGAGCAACCAACCCTGATACCAACAGAAGGTATGTGTGGCAGTCAAAGAAGCAGGCGGTCTGTTGAATCGGTGAGTAACTTGCTATCCCATCGTCCTTTGCCTCCTGAGTTTTTGAGCGCTGGCCACGACACGTAGCGAGGTCAACACCATTCCAGGGCCCGAACTATCAGTGTTCCTTGAAATCCTTCAGCCTCATCAGTCTCGAAGACAATCTATGGTTAGGCCGTGGAGAAGAGAGAGAAAAAACATACAAAAGATTTCCGAGTATTTCCTCATATTCCACCAATGAGTCAATGACACAGAGCCATCCGGCACCATTCCTAGCTCTTTTCTTTCTACCTATCTTTTGATTGGTAACATCTGGGCACTGGCCATCGGCGGCGCCGTCGATTCAAGTTATGACGCGTGGGTCGCTGAGTTTTCTGATGTTGGGCCTCTGACAATACTCATCGGCAAATGTAGAGAGATGTCAGGAACATGAGCGGATCCTCCAGCCTCGCCTCCACGCCCCAAGCGGCCCTTTACCACTATCACCAGTCTTTCTCGGACGCCTGGCTCTCGATGAACTTGTTTCTCCCTTTCATCGAAACAGGACCCCAGAGGCCAAGTGCCTTGGAATTGTCTCATGTCAACTGTCGTGGCGTTCGTCCGGCATCGATGGATAGCTAGCTGGTGCGAACGACTGTGTCCACATCTGCCTTCAAGACTTCGATCTGTGGGCGAGTCTTTGCTGCCGTCGGGAGGGCGTCCTTGTACGGCACCAGAAGGACGCCACGACTCATCTGGTTATCAATGGGTAGGAGATTGCAGAATCTTGGTTGCAGGCTCCCGCCGTGTTTCAGATGATGTTGAAAATATCGCTTACCTAGAAAGAGTTGATATCGCAAGCTGGAAACACAGGCAGACGAGCTGTAAGCGAATCTCCCTGTCAGAAAGAAGCCATGGTTACTGAGAAGCTTGTTTGCCCCAAATATTGAGCAGTCTGTCTTCGTCGCTACTCAGGGGATTTCCACCACTCTACTAAATCGATTCCGCACCGACCACGAAATGAGCCACTGTCGGCAGATATTGATAAGAGTTTGGTGATAACCGTATATTTTGCGAGCAAGACGACACCAGGTTTTCCGACTGCTATCGATTGTGGAAGGCTGGCATATCAGCCCGTTTGGCAGCAGTCTATCACCTGGCCGGTGTCCATCAAGACTCATCCAAAAGCGAGGCGTTTAGCTTGAGCCTTCTCTTGCTCCACGCGGCTTATACCTGTCCTCTACAACCGAGAAGTCAAGCTCTAAACCGTGACGCTAACGCACATGGCCCCCTAAAAGGATGAATGGTGAGCCAGGAAGTGCTGGGCCTTTGCGCCGCTGTCAGTGATCAGTGCCCAAGCCTGTTCTATCAGTCTATCAGTCTGTCCGCCTTAGTGTCTCAGTCGTAGATCCAATAATTCACAGTACGTCAATCCTCATCAATAGCCTGTCTTGCTCTAAAATCCATCACTAATCCCCTGGGACTTTTCATGCGTCAGTCTCTCGTCATTGATGCGATGCCACCACCTGTGTGTTTCGTCCTGAATGTCTTCAAGTTTCTCATCCCAGGGCTTTGGACTCAGGATGAAATGGACATTCTTCACCTGATCGTCGCGCCATATGGCGTCATGGACTCCTTTCCACCTCAACGTCTTCAGAGCGTTGTAGACATACGGCAACCCAACCCAGCGACCATAGAACTGGTCGCCAAGTAAGCTCTGGTCGGCAAAGTCATAGCTCGAGGTCAAGTCGCCATTTTTCATCGCATTGAGGATTTTGTCATAAATGCCTTGGCTAGGATTGCACACAACGAGGCCGCCATTGGGGGACCCTATCCCCGCAGTGGGAGGGGGCCCATGAATCTGAGCATCGTCTGGGGTATTGTGTTGGGATGTGAACCCGCAGTTCTCTGGGATCCAATGCTTGGGATAGTGCGGTTTGTTTAGAGGATTACATGCACAAGCATGGCTTGCGGCGTACACCCTTTTTCCCTCGCCATTCATCCCAGGCGGATCCAGCTCCAGCTCCATCAGTTCATCCATATTCTTCAGAACCAGCATGTCACTGTCCAGTTGTACCAACCGATCATACTCGGTGAGGCTGAACGGGGTCAATTTGCTCCAGCAGTCGTAGAAACGGGGATCGTTGGCGTACTCTTTGGGGACGGACGGCAGGAGGTAAGGGATGTGTTTAGCCGGTATACCTCTCTTCTTGAGAGCTTGCAGGCCTTCGGGAGGAAATGTGTCAGTGTAAAGTGCGACCAGAGGATACCGCGAACCAGCTTTCTTCAAGGAGTACTCGAGAGTGAGGAGGCCCGAGAGGTACTTGGTGTTGGTAATGAGCGTGGTCCACACTTTCGTGGGTGCGCTTTCAACTGGGGATTTCTCCATAACAGCTGTGCCACCGGGTTCGCGAGATGGCCTGCTAGATATAGAGTCCGAGATCTAGGGATATCCAGATGGTAGCAACTGAACAAGGAGCCCAGTCATGGCGAAGGAGATCCAACATAGTGGCGATCTGCTGGCACTATAACCGCGGGTCCAGTAGGGACAGCGACAGGCAAGCTTTTGATTAAGCCCACACCAAATTATTTTGTTCATTAATGCCCTCGGGTGGTACAGATCCACAGCTTCGGCAGCGAGTCGGAGAGGCTAAATCATCCCCGATCATCATCATCATCTTCTTCTTCTCTACTCTATCTCTCTGGCCTTAAAAAGAATGTGACCGAGAACCACTCGTCGATTGTTCTGCCTGTTTGTGGGATCCAGGTAAGCGGATAGACTTCAATAATGACTGCGACAGCGCCTGCGGCTCTCTGAAGTCGATATTCGACCGAGACCGCATATTTTCATCAGTATGTCAGAAAGTTTCAGCACGTAAGTATAGATGAACAACATCATCGCCTCGTCATCATTCTTTTCGCATGCTCACCGCGAGTCAGGCCTCAACATGATCACAAGGGTACCGTCACCGACGTTTTGCGCCAACCCGAGCAGGCCCACCACGAGTCGCGAACAAAGTCGCTCGCAAAGAACTACAAAGGCTTCGTCGCAGGAGTCTTCTCGGGTATAGCGAAGCTCTCTGTCGGCCACCCTTTCGACACAGTCAAGGTTCGATTGCAGACTTCGCAGAAGTCACAATTCAAGGGGCCGCTAGACTGTCTGTTACAGACCCTAAGAAGAGAGGGAATTGCAGGAATCTACAAGGGCGCAACTCCGCCACTGCTAGGATGGATGGCCATGGACTCTGTCATGTTGGGGAGCTTGACAGTTTACCGCAGGCTGTTGCTTGAAAACATATTTGCCAATCCTGCTTTCCGGCCCGGGAAGAGCGCCTCAGAGCTCTCACACGAGAAATTGCCTGCTTTTGGACACGGGATCGCAGGAACCATGGCGGGCGCTACCGTTTCTTTTATCGCTGCGCCCGTTGAACATGTCAAGGCAAGGCTACAGATTCAATACGCCGCGAAGAAGAAGGACAGGATGTACAGCGGTCCCATAGACTGCACGAGAAAGATTCTCCGTTCCCACGGTATTGCTGGCCTCTATCACGGCTTGTTCTCAACATTAATCTTCCGCTCATTCTTCTTCTTTTGGTGGGGCAGCTACGATATCCTGACGACCTGGTTCAAGAAACACACAACTCTATCCACTCCTGCAGTCAACTTCTGGGCCGGCGGGATGTCGGCACAGGTTTTCTGGCTGACGTCCTACCCTTCAGACGTGGTCAAACAACGAATCATGACAGATCCTTTGGGAGGTGCTCTTAATGACGGCACTCCTCGCTTCAAACACTGGAAGGATGCGGCTGTTACTGTGTATAGAGAATCCGGATGGAGGGGTTACTGGAGGGGCTTTGTGCCTTGCTTTCTCCGGGCATTTCCCGCGAATGCGATGGCGTTGGTAGCTTTCGAAGGTGTGATGAGGGCACTGCCTGATTGAACCGCTCCTCCTTTAACATTCAGGAGGTTCTGTATGAAAAGTTCAAACCCCTTATTCAAGCTGTATCTTCCAGTCCAAATTCTATCTGTCCCATAAGCGACATTCGCTGTTGTCACGTACCTTCTGATATAAAATGTGTAAGGCACATGCCCTCACCATCATCTCCTTTGTCCTCGGAGCCTTGCGCTAAGAATTCTTGGCACGACCCGACCCGGTCAATATAAAATCCTTCAACTTGTCACGAACTTTGTTCCGTCAGATGTTTGCGCGGATTCTGTTGCCACCATGGCTCCTCTAGTCATTAACGAGCCTCCTCAGGCAGTCCTGCACACATTGGTCAATGCAGACGGGTCAGCAACATACAGCGCCCCAGGCCAGGGCTACAAAATTATCGCCGGCGTCAATTACCCGGTTGAGGTACCATACCGATCTGATGAAATTCCAGAGTCAACCTTAGTTGAAGTCAATCTCAGACCTCACAATGGTGTCGGAATGGTCAAAGAACGACATGTCGAAGAACTCATCAAACGGACGCTCCAAGCTATTGTACTTGGCCAGGAGACTCCACGGACCATGCTGCAGGTCACCCTTCAAGTCTTGTCTGTTGAAGGTGACGAGAGCCTACCTGGTGGAGTCAGAGGGGCAGGGCAAGGTGAGACTTATCTCGACTTGCTTACTTCGGCACTGAATGCTGCCATCCTTGGGTGTCTAGACGCAGCTGTGCAGATGGAAACATTGGTGGCTGCCACTCTCATTGGCATCAATCGGGACAGTGGACAAATGATCATCAACCCAGGAGTCTTGCAGCGCAAGAAATGCGCTAGCTTGCATGCGTTTGCCTATAAAAAAGACGGCACGATGCTGTTGATGGAGAGTGAAGGCAAGTTCAGCATTGAAGGTTGGCAACAAGCAGCACACACTGCTCGCTTAGCAGTTCTTGGTCACTCCTTTGTCGCCAATTCCATCGCCAGCACCAGTGACAGACAAGCAAACAAACAGTCGAACAGCGATGTTACCATGAATGGAACAGACGGTGCAACTGGGAACAACTCGGTTATCTGTGTGCTGGATGTGATCAGGAACGCTCTGGAAGCTCGAGTGATTAAGGATGAAAGCTGGCGACAGGATCGATGATGTTACAAGTTTTGCCAGTGTGTGAAGGCTGAAACCGTCACAAAGTGGGCGGCTGACTGACACCAAACAGTGGTGAGGTAAAGGAAGTGGGGATGGGAAACAGACTTATCGGTGTGCAACCGCCTGTTTGTGGCAGCCTTCTAGGCTTAAGTATTGGTGGTTCAGGGGCCGATAGTTGATACTTTAGGTGCCCACTTTGGAGGATCTAGGGAGCCTAGGGAGCTCTACGAGATACGGGGGCGGTCGTGTGGTTGATCAAAGCCCACAGCAAATCCCCACGTGCCTGTCTCAGCACCAAGACACGCCCGGCCGGATCACCCCCAGCCCCAAAGGGATATTTTCATCTGGCATGTGCGATTGCTACAAATACTCAAGGACGGCATTGACTGAGGTGCAACCAACTACCTCAGGTCGATCAAGGAATCTCTTTTACTTTGGCGTCACCTCACGATCTCCTTTACCTTTACGACCTTGCAGCAGATTTGCATAATCAGTTGACCTCGGCTGGCCCAGAGACTTTGGTTCAATTCATTCACGTCATCACCTGCAGCAAAACGACATTGAAGAGCACAAAAAGCATTCAATCACCAGCTTCATCCGCTAACTCCGAGTCTCCGGATTACTTATTTGGTGATATCTTGTGTTACCTGACTATCTCGTCGTACCTGACACCCGAGGGCAGCTTTCAGGCAAGTTTCCTAGGCGTCCCATGCACTTCGGCGCTCTGACTATTCCGAAGATTGGCCCGCTTACGAGCGTGTTCGGATTTGCCTCTCGGCATCACCTCCCCATCACCATCACCACCCCAACACTACTCCGGAGGTGACACAACCTCCAGATCGTCCACTGTTGGCCAGATCCACTACTCCCGCCCGGCTCGGTTTCTGCCTTCGTTTGCCCTGCAGGTCGTCTTTTTTTCCAACATGACCGCCTGCTCCACCTTGTGCTCGCCCACTACCTCCGAGGCCACTAGTATCAGCAACTCTTCTCCGCCGACTCCTGTCCTTGATAATCTTGACTTCCTGCTCCCTTGTGGTATGGCCTCCTCCACACCCAAAAGGTCGGTTGGAGAGTCCATTCTCCGCCAGTATGCCGAACATTTAGATCCCATTGACGCCGACGGCCAAACGCATGCCGTGCGCAGTTTGGTCCACGCAGAGCCCTATCCCGTGAGCGAGAGACCCGTCAGCAGCGACAACGCGTCCACCAACGATCCTTCGAAAACCTCGTACATCGCCCATCACCCTACAGTCCCCGTGCCAAAGCCTCTACTGCTGCCGAAGTCGTTGCTCACCCACCGCAAAAACCCAAAGTCAATAGACATACCCAGACAAACAATCATGAAGGCTCTGGTCTCACGGCGGCCCAGTGCGGGGCCCAATATGGCACCGTTGGCCACGAACGCCGTCAAGACGGCCATCACCGAGGCAGAATTGGAGCAACAGAGAAGCTGCTCCGGGTCACCATCATTGTCAGCCACCCTGGCAAGCCTTCAAGCCAGCGCGCTGTCAAACAACTCGCCCACATCGACAAGTTTTCTTCGATCGCCATGTTTCTTCCACCAGCGATTTGACGGGGTTGTGGACATCCAAAAGGTTCTGGAAGAGATTGCGGACGATGACTACTCGCATTCGCGACTGATGCAGACTGCCACAGGCGTAAGAGAGGTCTCCAAACAGTTGCAGCGCAAACCCCTGAAACGCGCTGTGCGCAATGTCATGATTGTGACAAAGGCTCGAGATAACAGCCTCGTCTACCTGACACGTGAGCTTGCTGAATGGCTGCTCTCCACGCCTCGGTATGGGAGCGAGCTGGGCGTGAACGTTTATGTGGATGCCAAGCTCCGACATTCGAAGCGATTCGATGCCGCTGGTTTGCTGGCGAAGGAACCTCGGTTCAGCAAGATGTTGAAGTATTGGACTCCGGATTTGTGCTGGTCATCGCCGGAAAAGTTCGACCTGGTCCTTACAATGGGAGGTGACGGAACTGTATTGTTCACCTCATGGCTGTTCCAGCGAGTGGTCCCTCCTGTGCTCTCCTTTTCACTGGGAAGCTTGGGGTTCTTGACAAATTTTGAGTTCGACAAATACAAAGAGCACCTTGATCGGGTTATGGGCGACGCTGGAATGCGAGTCAACCTTCGTATGCGATTTACATGCACTGTCTGGAGAGCCGATCGGTCTCCCGGCGCAGTGAAGGGCGCTGTCGAGGAAGGCGAGCAGTTTGAAGTTTTGAACGAGCTTGTGATTGATCGCGGGCCATCAGCTTACGTGTCCAATCTAGAGCTTTACGGTGACGACGAGCTTCTGACAATTGTGCAAGCAGATGGGTGTATCTTTTCCACGCCGACGGGTTCCACAGCTTACTCCTTGTCTGCTGGAGGGTCCCTGATTCATCCATCCATTCCTGCCATCTTGTTGACGCCTATATGTCCGCACACCCTTTCGTTCCGGCCGATGGTGCTGTCGGACACTCTTGCGCTGCGAATTGCTGTACCTCACAAGTCCCGGTCGTCGGCTTATTGCTCTTTTGATGGGAAGGGACGGATTGAGCTGAAACAAGGGGATTATGTGACCCTGGAAGCGTCACAGTATCCGTTCCCAACTGTCATGACCGGCACGAATGAATGGGTGGAAAGTGTACAAAGGGCTTTGAGATGGAATGTCAGAGGCGCAGTTCAGAAAGGCTGGGACGATGGGGACAATGAAGACAGCGACCATGCTGAGGAGAAATGGGACATAGACATTGACTCGAGCCCCCTTGGAGGGACAGACAGCGGTATTGGGCCCAGCGAGGATGGCGACCACGCCGCAAGCCCAATGAGGCGGCAGCTGAGCATGTTGAATATGTGAGGAGGGTTTGTTCAAAGATGGTACTACATACCCAGGGAATGGGTTTTGTCACGACAACGTGGAGATTTGTCACGACGGGGATTTTTCAATAAGACGATGACCTGCAGCGGGCTTGATCCGGTAAGATCGATACGCCTTTGCTTCAGCCTTGTCCATACAACATGCTTCCAATACGCTCCATACATTCTACAACGACCAGACAAGACCACATTGCACCCAGGGCCTCACAATCTCAGCTGTCTCTCCTTGGCAGCTCTCACTAATGTCTGCACAGTTAGTCGCCTAGCGTTGTTTTTGGTGCTATAGAGGGTGCGACAGAAAGATGGTTGAAAAAAACAACAAAACCTGTCGACACTTCTCCCTCTCACTTCCCCTCGTTCTTTCTTTCACCATCGTCATTTCAACTCGTCGCGCTCCATCAAGTTCGTCGGTGCAGCACTTCTAAACTTACAATACCGTCGCTCGACCAATACAAACAGACCCTAACAGTACCCCAACAACTTCTCCGATTACGTCGTCAGCGCCGGTCAAAATGACTTCTTCAGACAAATCCGCAGGTAAGTTCACACTCACACGATCTTCTCGTCAACTTCTATCTTGCAACATTGCCTAACAATAAATATATACAGGCTCAACACCTGATTCTCCTTCATCTTCCTCTGAACGGCGACATCGTCGTCAGAGCGTTGGATTTCTCTTACCTGGAGACACTGGCCTGAGCTCTGGTCTGCCCAGCTCATCTTCTGGTGCAGAAGTTGATCTTCTTGCAACTGAATCTGTCAACACCACCACACCTACTCCAACATCTCTCACCGAAACGTCACCTGGTCTTCGTCGAGTTCATGGGACCACAAACTTGAATTCACTAGTCAACTATCCTCAGACCACAGACTCTCCTGAGAGTGAACCCAACCTTGCAACCACAGCATCAGAGGACGACTCGCTTGAATCCGATCACCAGGTCACTGATCCAGTCAACAACCAGGCTGCTACTGCAGCAACATTCTGGACTGATGAACCTGGGTGGAGTTTTGCCCACATTCACGGTGTGACAGCAAACTCAGCACAAGATCAGCCAAATCCTCTACCAATCCCAGCAAATACGCCAGTCACTGGCACCGTACTTGTTTGGTCTGATGAGCTAGGTTGGGGTTTTGGAAACATTGCAGGTCTGGCAGAAAATCTTAGACGCGGCCTTCCAAATTCGCTCACATTTCGACCTGCGCCAAATTCATCCACCACTCAGACTCTTCTAACACCACTGTCACAAGTTGACCAGGACTCATCCATTGCGCAAGATCTTCCATCATCGTCGTCGTCGTCGTCATCACAGGCCCAAGTTGGTCTGAACTCATCCTCTGCACAAGATCTTACAACTCCACAGTCACAAGTTGATCAGGACTCTACCAACACCACCCATACTCTTCCAACGTCACAGACTCAAGTTCATCAGGGCACACACATTACTCAAGATCTCCCAGCGTCACAGTCTCAAGTTGACCAAGACTCAGCCACCACTCAGACTCTACAAACGTCACAGTCTCAAGCTCATCTGAGCTCATCCTCTACTGAAGATCTCTCAAACTCGTCCAGTGCAGAAGAGGGCGACAACGACGACGACGACTACGCCTCAGAGGAGGCTGAAGAGGACGGGGAATGGCAGGCCCCCGAAGACATGTGGTCTTCAGATGGCGAAGAAGAGGAGGAGGATGAGGTGCGCGTCAACCTGGACGAGGTTGACGCCCCGGTTGCGGAACAACTCCGCGCGGGGCTCGCTCACTTAAGCGAGGCCCGTGTCCAGATCGACGTCCTCGACGGCGATCTCCCAGTTGGCGCCGTCAGGGGCAACCCAGCGGCCGTCCGCGCCCGCGCGGGTCTCCTCTCTGCAGAGGGCGAGATCCTAGGTGCGGTCGGTCAGCTGTGGACGACCCTGGCAGAGGCGCGGGAGGTCGCCGTCGACGCTGAGGAGGGGTTTAGACAGCTCCAAGACGAGGTCCGCCGCCTCACAGCTGAGTACCTCGCTGCTCAGATCGATGCCGCTCTTGCAAGGGAGCGTGCGGACTCTAGCGAGGCTCTCCTTGAGAGAGCTGAGTTAGAGATCGCCGCTCTTCGCGAGCAGCTTCGAGACGAGCAGCATTGAGGCAGTTGTGTGTGCGGTGGCCTCGCTCTTGTGAGTGTGTCTCGGTGGGTGTCCTGGTGGTGTGGGAAGGGGGGAACAGGGAGGAAGGGGAGGAACGGAGGCAAGGGGGAGCAGGGGGTGGTTGCGGTGGGGTTTGCTGGGGTTTGCCGGTGCCCCTCGGGGCTTATGAAACGAGAACAAGTGTTGTTTGTTTTTCTTTTTTGAGCACTCCTGTGCTCATGTGCCCTTCGGGGCTTATCAAATCCCAAAAAAAATGTCGAGAACAAAAATCTCTCCGTTCATCTTCCGAGTGATCGCCTTCGTCAGTTGTTGGATTCATTATCCGCCAGGTATCTAACCCCTCGGGACTGATTGAAGTGCCCCGGAGCGATCCACCTCTAACTGGCAGGATATAGAACGTCACTGACAACCAATTCTACATCGTCACAGTGCATTGATGACTGTTACGGAGTGACCGGAGCTCCTCCAGCACATACACGATGAGCAAGGAAGGAGAAGTCACGAAATCAAGAAGGATGGGATCCTGGATGAAGCACCCTGCGGCTACAACGGAGGGTTGGCAAGACTGAGGCAGCATTATGAGGAGGACGTGTGATGGTGTCAATGCGAAAAGAGAGAGAGCCGATGACGTGACTCCATATGCCATCTCAGCAAAAGCAGACCGGGAGTCCTCGGCATCATGAGCAAAATTGGGGAATCTAACTACTCAAAACCGAAGCATGCAGGGGCATATAGCCTGACAGTCTATAACTTGTATACCATGCAGGATTATCAGGGAATATTATACGAGTGGTGGCGGCAAAGCATGGCGAGTGATGCGCGGACCCGGTGATTGGTTGCTCGGCGAGGCTGCCAAGGGAACTTATAACTTGAATTTCATCTCTTTCCGCCACCTGAGGGAATGAATGAACCAAGAACACTACAATAACATCACTTGAACATTATCCAAATTTGTATCATAGCACGTATCAAAATGGCCGAGGGTATCGACAGAAATGCAGACGGTGAGTGCGACGTCTTCTGTCGAACAGTGCGATTAGGCTGGCGACTGACATGGGCAAACCAGAGCGCATGGAGTTCTCAACTTCGAAAGAAGTGACAGTCGCCCCAACCTTTGAGGACATGCACCTCAAAGAAAACCTCCTCCGTGGAATTTATGCGTACGGCTATGAATCGCCCTCAGCAGTTCAGTCTCGAGCGATCGTGCAGATCTGCAAAGGAAGAGACACCATTGCGCAGGCGCAGTCAGGCACAGGCAAAACCGCGACCTTTGCCATCAGCATTCTTCAAATCATCGAGACTTCCGTCCGTGAGACACAAGGTATGGATGGGATCCCGGGCATACACGACCTGGCTAACAAAATCTCAGCTCTAGTCTTGTCCCCGACCCGCGAACTAGCGACGCAGATCCAAAGCGTCATTATGGCCCTCGGAGACTACATGAATGTACAATGTCACGCCTGTATCGGCGGCACAAACGTGGGTGAAGACATTAGAAAACTGGATTATGGACAACATGTGGTGTCGGGTACGCCTGGGCGAGTGGCAGACATGATTCGAAGAAGGAATCTCCGCACACGACACATCAAGATGCTGGTCCTGGACGAAGCAGATGAATTGCTCAATCGCGGCTTCAGAGAACAGATCTACGACGTCTACCGATATCTCCCTCCTGCCACGCAAGTTGTGGTCGTCTCTGCGACCCTTCCCTACGATGTCTTAGACATGACCACGAAATTCATGACCGATCCCGTCCGCATCCTGGTTAAACGTGATGAGCTTACGCTCGAAGGCCTCAAGCAATATTTCATTGCTGTGGAGAAAGAGGAATGGAAATTTGACACATTGTGCGACCTCTACGACACGCTTACCATCACACAGGCAGTGATTTTCTGCAACACTCGTCGCAAGGTCGATTGGCTTACCGACAAGATGCGCGAGGCAAACTTTACAGTCAGCAGCATGCACGGCGAGATGCCACAAAAAGAACGTGACAGCATCATGTCCGACTTTAGACAGGGCAACAGTCGAGTCCTCATCAGTACCGACGTTTGGGCTCGTGGGATCGACGTCCAGCAAGTCAGTCTTGTCATCAACTACGACCTGCCCAGCAATCGTGAGAATTACATCCACAGAATCGGACGTAGCGGGAGATTCGGTCGCAAGGGCGTGGCGATCAACTTCGTCACTAGTGAAGACGTCCGCATTCTGCGGGATATCGAGCTTTACTATTCCACGCAGATTGATGAGATGCCCATGAACGTTGCCGATTTGTTGACTTAAGGAGCACTTCTTACTTGAGCTAGCTTGTCACGGAACCAAGAATCGTCAGACTGGATCGGCCCTGTGGAGGCGTGCGTCTCTTGTCAGCTGCATCTCACGTTGCGATGACATGGTTCTCACTGCAACATCTAATCCCACATTCTCTGAAATCCAACCAACCATAAGCTTTCTAGCTCGTCATATTCCAGCAAATCTTTTCGGTTTGGAAGGGGTCTCACCAATTTGCGGGAATTATATTATCGAGGAGACACTCCGTTGGAGTTGGAATACAGTTCAACATACGGGAGCAGTGTTGTCAAGGCCTTAGAGCCAAAGTCCGGTCAACCGAGCTGCGATTGGAGCTTTTACAGAAGCAAACAGTCGAGAGGCGATGTGGTCACTTTTCAGGGTCTTCTACTTCCGGTATCAGGTACATCGAGGATGGAAATGGGCTGAAGCCAAAAAGGTATCAAGTTCCCTCCCCCTCTTGTTTGCGGAATATCAGCTAAGACCATTGCAGAATGTTTAATATCTTTTACCAACGAAACCACCCTTTAATATCTCATTCGGTCGTCCCGGCCATTATCGAATGCTTTGAGACCTTGCAGGTACTTCCTATTCCTTTTTCCACTAACCTTAGTTTTCGAACGCTGAAAACACATCCCGTTTGGCCTCTTGATACTCCCTCAGGATAGTCTCCCGTCTTGCCTCAGATCTCACCTTGACCTCCAGAGTGTAGGGCTTTGCACACACCAAGAAACCCTCACTATATCCCGTAGTCGGATCGGTGTCCGGCATGATCGGTTTTCCATCGTTGTCTTTTCCAGGCGCAAATTCAAAAGCCCACAGCAGCTTTGCAATGGCAAGGAACAAATTCCTCTCCGCGAGATGAATGCCGGGACAAAGTCGTCTGCCGGAGCCATAGCCATAATGGTCCCTGTCGTCAGGGTTGGAGGCTTGGGCGAGTTCCGAAGCAAGCGCCGTGACGCCCTTGTAATGATCTGGATCGAATTTGTCCGGGTTTGGGAATCTCTTCTCGTCGTGGTGCATTCCCCATGCATTGATGAAGATCACAGAGCCCTTTGGGATTTTGTACCCATCGACCCAGTCGTCTAAAGCACCGAATGGGTTAGTCATGGATGATCCTCCCTGTTCACAGCGAACCACATACCTTCGTCTACAGCATGTGGAAATGCCAACGGAACCACCGGCCTGGACTCGTCGTTAGCACCAACCAGCTATGTCAGGGTAAGGAACCTTGAACGCCACCATCCAGGCGCTTGCAAGAAAATCTCACCTCCATCTCATCGCTTCTTTCACCGTTGCAGCTACATACGGTAGCTTTGCATAGTCAGCCCACACAGGAGATCTGTCTTCGCCCATGACACTGTCAATTTCATGCTGCGCTTTCCTCATGACTTCAGGCCACTTGGTGAAGGCCTGTATGGCCGCGATGATGATGCTTGAAGAGGTATCACTTGCGCCCTCCATCATTGTGCCGCCCAGGAAATAGAGCTGATGTCGGTTCAGTTCAAGCTTTTCTTTCTGGTCAAGGACTCTGTCCATAAATGAATACTTGCTGCCCACGGCTTCTCTGCGCTTTTCGAGCCCGGTCAACATATCATTATACAGATTGTTCATCGCATTTCCAACGTCTTTGGCTCGCGAGCGCCAGTTCCCAAAAAGCTGTTCGGGAACGTAGTGTAGAAAAGGGAAGATATCGACGGGAGGGGTGTTGCCCGGTTCCATGACCACGGACCAATTCTCCATGAGTTCGTAGAGGCGTTTCATATGTGGAGTGTCCACTGTAGGGGATCTCACGCCCCAGATGGTGGCGCATGCGATGCTGTTGGTATACCGCTTCGGATGGTCCATGTGCTGATCCGGTCGCTCGAGGAAATCTTTCAACAACTGACTTGCTTCGGCTTGCTGCAAGGGTAAATGGTCCCTCAGTACGATAGACTCCATGAAGTGCTGATGAATTGCTTTTCTGTATTTTTGCCATGTTTTGCCATAGTGTGCAATCAGGACATGGTCGCCGCCTGTAATGAGATTGTGCGAAACATAGCTGTGGGGCCGGTCGCTGTAGATGTTTGACTTCTTGTCAATCAGCTGCTTCACCAGGTGGCGAGAAGTGAGGACAATGGCGGTTCCAGGGCCGAGCTTGAGGGAGAAGATGCCGCCATATTTCTGTGCAAGTTTGTCAGTATTTTAGTCCCCAGTAGGGCATATCTCAGAGCGGTGAGCGTGTGCATACCTTGGACCATTCAGTGAACGTCAGGTAAGAACCCTTGGTAGGGATTTGATGAATGTTTCCAATGATCGGGGCAGTGGGGGGACCTATTCATGAGGGCACACACTGATGAGTACACACCACTCGCAGCAACTTGGTATCACGATGCATATCCACATACCAGGTGGCAGACCCTTTTCGCGGCGTCCGATGAAGAGAAATGCGTAGAGTAGCAGGGCAACGAGCAGCCCGCCCAGCCCTAGCAGGATGGTTCCCAGTGCCATGGATTTTATGAGCGCGAGAAGAGGACGGGGCTTCCAGGTAGAGCAGAATATCAATTCAAGGTCTTTGAGGACGATTGCCTTTTCGGTCAGAAGAGCAAGATGGCTGTTGCCTCGATGCACGGATGATCTTGGAAAGAGCAGTCGGGAGAGAGAAAGTTATGAGAGGCGAGACCGACTTGATATATATGGGCAAGCAGGCAGATCTGAGGACTGACTCCAGTGAAACATGAGGCGCTTTTGGTGTTGTCGAGAGCCAAGACTGGGGTAAAGTCCACTGGTTACCAACTTCGCCAACTCCGCCACAATCTCATCTCAACCACTTCCCCCAATGATAGCCGGTCCCACGATCAAGGTTCATGCCTAGACCCTGGCTCTGGGAGGCTATACCCCAAGGCCGCCCTATCCATTCTGTCTTAGCTCTATAATTTACGTCGGATTTACCCCCCACACGGATACTGACCATGAACATGTAGCGGGGTAGGTGCATAAGCCTCTTCCTCTAGCCCTTGAAAGTCCAAGATTGCACTGAACTATCCAGGTGGGAAGCAAGAGACCTGAGTTACTGGGATTCATTGCCTATCACGCTGTTCGGGAGCTTAAGGCTGAGGGCCAGCCTGGTGATGCGGAGAATCATCTCCGAGATGCTGACAGACCTCGGTTGGGAATCCCCTCATTCAGCTTCTCATAAGAAATTTAAAGAGATTTACCTTGCTCTCGATCCTTTGTATCGTTCAAAGGCAGAAAAGGAAATCGCCAGATTCTCACCTCCGGCCCTCTCGTGAAAACAACAAGTCCGAACTGTTCCATCCCCAAGCCACAATGGCGCAGCTCCAAGGAAAAGTCATCGCAATTACCGGTGCAGCATCGGGTATCGGGGCAGCCACGGCCCTCGAATGTGCCGCGAGAGGCGCTGCTGGACTGTCACTGTGTGATGTCAACGAGGATGCCTTGAAAAAGGTGGTAGACCAGATACAGGCCAAAGGGGTCAAGGTAATAGGAAAACGAGTCGACGTCTCCAATTCGGAACAGGTTGATGCGTGGATTGCCGAAACAGTCAAGGAGTTTGGCCGTCTGGATGGCGCCGCCAACATCGCGGGCGTCGAGACAAAGCCGGGCGGCAAGGTCTTTTCCAACATTGTCGATATCAGCAACGACCACTGGGACTTTATCATGAAGATCAACCTCACGGGTCTCTTTTACTGCCTTCGCGCTGAACTCCGTGCTATGGACCGGGGTGCCTCGATCCTCAATGTTGCGAGTATGGCTGGCGTCATCGGTCGTCCTGGCATCGCCGCCTACTCGACCAGTAAGCACGGTGTCGTTGGTTTGACGAGAACTGCAGCCAAGGAAGTCGGCGAGCGCGGCATTCGAGTCAATGCTCTTGCTCCGTAAGTGACGTTATGTGGCCCTCGTAGACTTCTGTCATGTCCGACTCCCCAGGCTAACAGTGTTCTTTCCAAAGTGGCCCTATAGAGACACCCATGCTGGACAGGCTGCTATCCGATGGTGGCTCCTCAGAGCGACCGGTCACAAATACCTACAAGACCCTGCCTCTCCAGCGACTCGGAACAGCACAAGACATGGCAAAGACAATTTGTTTTGTTCTGAGCGACGATTCAAGCTTTACTACAGGAGCTGTATTCTCTGCAGACGGCGGTGTTGCCTGCTAGATAGAAAACAATTCCTGACTCTGGCACCTTTCGGGCATGTCGCCAGTCATCAACCAGCATTTATCTTTGTAGCCTGGCGTAATACTGACTTCTATCCCTGCGCCTCGAGAAGAGCTCCCCCATTCGCGGGCACATTGTTCCCATTGATCCACCTGCTCTCCTCGCTTGCGAGAAACCCAACAATGCCAGCGATGTCGTCCACCTCCCCCATCCTCTTTTCCGCCGTGTTTCTGCTCGACAGGCTCGGGATGTAGCCATCGGGGAGTATCCCCTGTTCCAAAGGTATTCTGAGCAAATCCGTCATGACCGGCCCCACCGACACCGAGTTGATGGTGATGCCGTGCTGGGCCGAGTACATCAGAGCGAGGCTCCGGGTGAAGCTGTCCAGGGCGGCCTTGGACGCGCCATAACAAACCGCAGGGTCTGCATTCGGCGACTTGGAGGCGGTGCTGCCGATCATAATGACGCGGCCGCCTCGAGAAATGACGGGTAAGGCCGTCAGGAACAGCTGGACAGGAGCCCACGCGTTGCCCGTCATGAGATTGTCGAACAGCTCCTTGGTCGCCGTGGCGATGGGGGCCACAATCTTGGGGTTGACATACGCTGCGTTACACACGATGATGTCGAGGGTTTGGGTAGAGAGGTTCTCCAGCACCTGAGGTACCAGGTCGGAGGCAAATGTCGACGACAGGACATCCGCTCGGATCGCTCTGGCGACAATACTCGGGTCGACTTTGCCAATCGCTGCGAGGGTCTCCTCCGCGGCCGATGGGTTCTCAGCATAAGTAATGGCAATCTTTGAAATGCCCTTTCTCGCGAAATGGATCGCGATGCCACGGCCAATGCCTCGTGAGCCGCCCGTAACCAAGGCCACTTTTCCAACCAGAGGAGCAGGAATTGTAGTCATAGACATTTTTTGGAGGTGGACGGGTGCCCAATTGATTTGTCTCCGGACTCGTCGTATTGACACAAAGTAAAAGCACTGATGCCAGCTCAAACTGGTGGTTTCCTATCATCTATACTCGAAAGTCCGGCCATGATAAGGGACTGGAGCTTTATACTGGAGACGCGACTGAGAATTCTTTTCCACGCCTTTTGTCCCGGTTCACAAGAAAGGCCCAATTGGCCAGGGGAAAAATCCGGTGTCCGTCCTGGTTTTCAAAGTAGAACTGGCATATGTAAGACGCTTGCGGTGTGTAAAGAGAGACGATGCAAGATTCTGCATTCGAATCTGAAGTGGGTAGAGAGAACGTGGGCGAGGGCAATGGTGCAAGGGGTAGCAATCCCGCCATGTCTGCCAAAGGGCGCTGGCAACTATCAACTAGCCATACACACTGGATAGGACGGAGAGTAAGCCAACCAGAGGAGCTAGAAGTCCATCCCATCTTGGATGACCCCGGAGCCCGTTTTTCGTCGTTAATAATCACCAGCAAGGGGACAGCGATCAATGTCTTTCTGAGGCGGGCTCAGAGATTGATATTGTTCATGACGTGGTGCACTGGTGGTGGTTGCCTGAAGCAAGTGATGGATCAAAGACGAGCCTCATGCAGGAAGATACGAGTTCTCTGAATTACCCAATTCGGCAGTACAATACCACTTACACCACGCTGAGCCTCGAACCCCTCTAACGCCACCGGTCTTTTGCGGCATGCACGCTACCACTGACAGGCCCGTAAATATCGTCTCCACGACTCGTGTGTGATAAGGGTACCTTGACTGACTGCAACTTTTGGTTTCCACCTGGAGATACGCCGGCACGGACTTCGCTACGGGAATTTTGTCCCTCTTTTTCGGCGATGAGAACAGAGGAAGGCGACTTTGCAGGTCGGATGACGCACTCTCCATCGCCTTGGGGTCAATGAGTGAGTATGCAACGAGAGAAAGGGCGTGGCTCAAGGAGGGAGATCTAGGCAATACGCGCAGTATATGTTGATCACCAATCTCAACGTCCCCCTGGTTCAGTATGTGGGCTGGGTGGATGTCAGATCGCACCTGGAGAGCACAAGGCTAGCTATTGCCTTAGACGTGCGCGTGCTGAGCACTTTCCCAGTAGGGATGATGATATCGGGAAGATAATTATCGACAAAGCTTGTCATCATCATTGCAACTTCTCCACTTCTGTGGACCACATGCCAAGTGGGATGAGGGGTCGAGCAGCCCCCGAGGGTTGTTCAATTGGGCTATAAGAGATACGGCACAATCACATACAAACATATCTAGACAACCCAGACACAGCTGCTGCGCCGAATCCTCCATATTTCAGGACAATCGTTCCACGGTGATATCATCAATATCGTCAGCAACATGAACTGCGTTTGCACTCGTGCTCTCCTCCACAAGACTCCCACCTTGGCATTCGTCCGTGTCCCAGTCCGTCGATGCTACCACCCAGAGCCACGATCGCTTCAAAATAGCGCCCACGGCACGCATCGGTTTATCTATCGGTGGATCATTCAAGCAATCGGCACTCCCTTCGCTGTGGCTTACCTCTGTGAGAGGCTCTCGGAGCGGAGTGATGGTGAGAGCAGCTTCAAGCTTGGACTGCCCCAGATCGATGCGGGACTTTTGACCGAGCCGATTCGGATGAAGAGCCAGACCTGGGGACATATGCGAGTGAACTGAGAGCTGTACTGTGGCTATCTTGTTGGTGTATACAATGGAAGAGAGACGCTGACCTGCTTGGGGCTCTGCCCTCTGGGCTGATGGACGCTGTGTATTAGAGATCTTGCCTGTCCGTTGAGATGACACGGGCAGCGCTGCAGTCTCCACGGATAGTTGTAAAGCTGCGACATTAGAGTAAGAATTATGTGCCTTTCAATCGCTACAAAGCTACATGTTCTTTGATCGGTTCGGCTCAGTCACGACTGTGACACTGGCTGCGTTGAATTCGCGTCCTTGTTGCGCCCCGACCGGGCTATCGTATCGTCATGTGCCATGGCTTCGGCGCCGTCAAAGAGATGGGCATCGACGTCTTCGCTGAGGAATTTACCACGAGCATTCCGGTCTGCGCACTGGTCTATGACAATCGCAATCTCGGCACGAGCGACGGTCTGCCTAGACGGGCGGCGACCCCGGCCTTGCAGTGCTCCGATTGTCTAGGGCGCCAGCTACAACGGAGCCTATGCGCTTTCAATTACCGATTACCATCGTGGATCTTCGAGTCAAAGCCATGGTTAGCCAGGTAAGTGTCACCCCTGCCTTACCACAGGCGTAAAACACACGTACATCGTTGTGTCTCTTCCACAATTGACAGATGGCCATAAACATGTCATGGTTGCAGACGGATGGGACAAACTCCATCGCCTCGTGAGGAACGGCTCGGTCAAGCATATTTACATGTTCCCTAGCGGACACCATTCGGGACACTTTGGTGAAGCCTTGCAAAAGAGCACGTGTGTACACCGCGGAAGACGGCACCAAATCATGGATTCTGCAGTCTCAAACGACGCATCCCATACTCTCATGTGAACGATACTACTTCCTGTATTGACAATCCCAACTGATCCACACTGTGCTAGCCATGTGTCCTTCACTCACTTCCTCACCAACTCATCAGACCTTCCAAAGTAGCCTACCTAGCTAGCTAGAGACTCTTCTTCAAAAAGTCCAACACAATGCCCGACATCTGCGCCAGGTTAGTTTCGAGCAGGAAATGGCCTGCATCCAGCAAAACGACGTCGGCGTTGGGCAGGTCCTTCTTGAAGGCCTGGGCCCCAGGGGGAATGAAGACGATATCGTTCTTACCCCACGCTGCCAGAAGCTTGGGCTGCTTCTGGCGGAAATACGCCTGGAACTGTGGGTACAGAGGCACGTTGGAGCCGTAGTCGGCGAGCAGGTCGATCTGAATATCCCGATTTCCGACTTGCTCGTCCATCAGGGAGAAGTCCAGCCAGTATGACTCAGGCTCGATGCTTTCCGGGTGAGCACTGCCGATGGTGTACTGCGACTTGAACCCCGCCAGGGTCAATGCGGTGTCGTTAATCGGGGTCGCTGCAGCCTGGAATTGTGAGGGTGTGGTCGCGTTCCAGAGGGCAAAGATTGGGGGCCAAAAGGTGGCTCCAAACCCTTCGATATAGGCGTTGGCATTCTGCGAGATGAAGGCCAGGATGGACTGAGGCCGCTGCAGGGCGAGTCGGAAGCCGATCGGTCCCCCATAGTCGTGCATGTAAGGAACAAAGGTCGTGATGTTCTTTGCATCGAGAAACGAAGCGACGGTCTGGGTCAGAGTCTCGAAATTGTATGTGAAGTTCAACGAGTCGGGCACCACCGTGAAGCCGAAGCCAGGGTAGTCGGGGGCGATGACGTGGTAGTTGTGTGCAGCCAGGATCGGGATGAAGTTTCGAAACTGGTGAGACGACGAAGGGAAGCCGTGTAGGAGCAGGAGGGTCGTGGCGTTGGGAGGGCCAGCTTCTCGATAGAACATCTGGATGCCATTGGGGAGAGTGACATTGCTCACGGTATATGGTAGCCCTAGGGGAGCTTGCTGGCCAAGTGTGAGGAGGGGTAAAACCCAAAGAAGGTGGGAGAGCTTCGCAACCGTATGTTTGAACATGATGGACAACTTCCTCGATACTTCCTGTCCTGCAGAAAAATGGAGCGTGTGGCTGGATATCACGCCCGAAGGGTTACTGCTGAGTCTTCCATCTCTACATCTGGTGATGAGGAGGGCATCGATTATATAGTAAACTGTCCGAGGATGAGTATTGCACCTTTGATCACGAACATGCGGTCAAGGGTTAGAGGTATTTACGTGACATCTTCGACGAGGTCGAATGTGGCAGGTCATGAACACGAATGAGGCCATGTTCTATGTCATCAAACAGCCACTAGAGCCGTACCTTGCAGAGAGCAGCAATCCAGCATGCCGGGAAATCACGCCGTCCGATCCACGAGTTGTCCAATTCGACCTGCGGTGAGTTGTTATTGGCGGGCTGACAGTGGAATTTCTCAAAGTGGAAGGTTTCCTGCTCTCCATGTGGATCGGGCTTCCGACAAAGCCCCTCACACCCCTGAAACGGAAGCCTTGTGTGCTGACTAAAAGCAGCATTAACCTCTTTAAATTGATATGGAACCAGCAACATGCGGCCACTTGGACAGACCACCGGGACGAAAAAAAAGTCAGTCTCAATTGAGACAGGCAGACTTATAGCAAACTGGTGAGGTACAGGAATTGATGACGCTAAGAGATGGTTGGCGGAACAGGACACAACTGTGCGACGGAGTATCACAATGAAAGTGTTTCTCAAAGTCTCACAAGGACATAAGAAGTCGGCTTCAGAACAACGGAAACTCTATCTCATGTCATCGGTGCCATTTATCCACTTGCTGACACACCGAGTGCAATGCAGGAGACGACAATTCAGCTAACACCAAAATCACAGCTCCAAGTCGTTTTTCCGCAAAGAACCCCTTGGTGTTACAGCGGTCATGCGAGCTTGAGACCTGGAGAACAGCGTAGCTGTGCAACAAGAGACATTATGCGGGTGCTGAAAAGCGAGGAACTGGTGCCATGAGAAATTGTTGTTCCAAAAAAACGGAAATTCACGTGACCCAGCCTTGCTAGGCAACGACGAATTGGTGTGCATCACTAAAATTCACCATCTCTTTGCGGTGGGATGAGCAGTCGGCTCAACACTTGTGCCAGGTCTGTCCCGTTTCGCACACCAAGTGGCTGGTGCGGCTAGCCCACGGCCTATACCCGAATACGCCGAGGCAAAGCACCCAACGCGTCTCAGCTCCGAGATGCGGGGAAAGGTACAAGAGCAGCTTTCCATCAAGAGATATCCTTACCCAAGGAAAGTGGATGTTGTCGTGATATCAGATCGAGCGTAGACATTACCACAAAGATACTCGAACATGGCCACAGAAGCTTTCACGGTGTCGCGTGACAAATTGACGGGACCAAAAGGCGTCACAGTGCTGATAACTGGGGGCTCATCGGGCATTGGGCTGCAAACAGCGATTATCCTCCACGAACTCGGCAATAATATCATCGTCGTCGACAGAGCTCGACCTCACCCAAGTGCTCCCCAGGACTTGATTTCATCGCCTCGCTTTCTGTACCAACAATGCGACATTACATCATGGAAACAGCAGAGGGCTGCTTTCGAAGCTGGCTTCAAGAAGTTCGGATCCATTGACTGCGTCTTCGTCAACGCGGGGATAGCAGAATACAAGGATCAATTCTTCAAGGATGAGCTGGATTCAGACGGGCTACTCAAGGAGCCGGATAGGAGAACCGTCGATATTTGCATGCACGCGGCCAATGACACGGCGAAACTCGCCATCCACTACATTAGGAAGAAGGGACCCAACCAGAAGAGAGGTGGGAGCATTGTCATGACGGCGAGTCTGGCGGGATATCTAGCCAGTGCTGGGGCACCGCTGTACAGTGCCGCGAAACATGGTTAGTCCTTGGGCGTTGGACTTTGTTCTGTCGCGTGGCTAACATTCTGGACAGGTATTGTGGGCTTGATGAGGGCACTGAAGAACGACACCGCGACACTGGACATTGCAGTCTCTGTGGTCGCGCCAGGCATCACTTTGACCGATATTATCTCGGGCCGCAGTCCTGGAGAATCTCTGAGTGACTGGGCCAAAAGAATGAGAGGGGTCGGCGTCCCAATTAACGATCCACAAGAGGTGGCATGCTGTGTGGTGTACTTGATGAGCTTGGGAATGGAGGCCAACGGCAAAGGGATGTTGGTTCAAGCCGGACGGGTTGCGGATCTGGAGAAGGGAATCGCTTCGTCAAGGAAGATCTGGATGGGAGAAGAGATGCTGAATCTCTTCCGAGGGGGAAGGAATGCGCCATTGTTTCCCAATAAGCTGTGAGTGTCGGATAGTAGTGAGGATAACGCAGGATCATGAGCACCTATCTACACAGTCAAGATCTGAGGAACTATACGAGAGCATAGGCATCGAGTACGAGCTGCCGAGTACTACTGATTGTACCCAGTATCTACGAGGTAGCGGATACTGAGACAAGTAAGATTGTGTGTGGCTGATTTCCCTCGGCCCAAGCTCTACCAAGTACGAGATAAATTATTCCTGGTACCATTGATCGACGCTGCAACAACGGGCTGTTCCTGATGTGCGCCACCAGCCACCATCACCAAGCCATCGAATTTCGCTTCCCGCCTCTGCCCGCCTTTGACCCTTACTATTGTTCAAGTTGTTCGCAATCATGAGCTGGAACTATTCCCGGAGGTTGTTCAATTTCAGGAGTTTGTTCCTCAGCACCACCTCCTACGAATACATACATTCACCAATATACAGAGTGCGCATGCGCTGATGCCTCGATCGCACACCGCCGTGTAAACACCACCCACCGCGACCTGCTCCTCGATCTTCATGTCGATAACCGTGAAACAACTCAATGCCGAAAATGCACTCCTCCTCGTCTTCTCTCCCAAGGCGCACCCTCTCCCTCTAGATCTTACTTCCGCAGCCGGCGCGGTGTCGGTACTCATCGATCCTTGGAACAAGAACCCCACTGTCGATCCCACGGCTTGTTTTCCAGAGACTGAGCACAAAAACCGGGGCGCCGTTGAACACTGGTCAGATCTTGAAGAGCCCGACGTGCTGATCGTGTCGCACAATAAGCTTGACCACCGTTACAAGGAGACTCTCGTCCGACTCCCTACAGAAGGGAAGACTATCATTGCGGCAGAACCGGGCGCCGCAAAGGTCATCAAGAGCTGGAACCACTTTGACCCTGCACGAATTCATGCCCTACTCAAATATGAATCCAAGGTCAAATTTGGGCGCTCCTTGCGAGTCCCCATTGCTCCCCTGTCGCCTCAAGGCTTCCCGGGAGAGCTGAACATCGCATTCATTCCTGCGAAACGCTCCAGGACGGCTGTACACTACGCCATTGGCGTCACATACCAGCCACCCACGCACACGAGGAGCATCGCACCAATTGCAACAGTGGATCTTCCGAAAACTACGAGATACTTCCATATGCCCCTCAGTCCGTTGACTATGCCTCCGTCGAGTCCCCCTGCACCTTTGACTCCTCTAGCCGATCGACCTGTGTCTTTGGATCTGCCGTCTCATGCTCAGAGCTCTCCCCAAAGCCCGGATGCGGCACCCTTCAAAGGACATAGACCACGACTCTCTCGTTCATCAAATACTGCATCGTCTGAATTCCTCCCGGTGTCTGAACAGCCAGCTATACAAACACGACCAGATCCCGAAGCTGAAAAGGAGGAACTGGTACAAAAAATCCTGACGATCCCCCACCAGTCTGTGCTCTTGGAGAGTCCTTTCCAGTTCGAACTCGGCCCTGCACCCTTTACATTTATCAATAATCTCCCCACACCACCAGCTTCCCCTGTTCCAACCGCGGTGTCTTCTTTATCAGGGTCGTCTCCAAACCTGTCGGCAACCTCTCGAAGTAGCACTCTCTACCATCATCGACACAGATCTTCCGTGACATCCCACCAGAAATCTCTATCAAGCGTCTCCTCCATCCCGAATCTTGCGCCCGTCACTCCCGCCCGTCCTAAAGCCGTCTCAGTCATCTACTCGCCCCATGGCGTCCCCCTGTCCGATCTACAGCCTTACATCCAGACCCATCTCGTTCGACTGGCAGGGGCGCTACCTTTAACCTTACTGCTCCACTCCTTCGACTACGCACAGAAACCCTGGTACCTTGGCGGCAACGTTTTGGCCAGCATGGACAGTGGAGCAGACATCGCTCGCGCATTGATGGCTAGGTGCTGGATCAGTGCGGACGAGCAACCAAAAGACACTTATGGGACAGGCGTGAAGAAGCTACAGGTGAAGCGAATCTCGGTGAATGAGGTAAGGAGACATCTATGGGAAGGGGAGGACGGCGAATGGCTCAAGAAACGAGGATGGAACTGCGATGTTCGGCGAGTGGCGGCTGGGAGAGAGGTCTTCATTGGGCCGAGCCGAGATCTCTGCTCAGGAATGGAGGGGAAGAGGGACAGTCGATTGTTACGATTCAGCGGTGCGGGAGAGGAGATGATATGAAACAAAGGTTGACCGAAGCGCGGGCACTCTCGATCCCAGCATTTTACGACTGAAGCGAATGATGTTGCAATAGCAATTGTACAAACAGCTGTATATATGGTTTGACGAGAAATGATCATCTTCGAGGTCAAAAAGTCCCACAAAGTCTTTAGTCCTGTCTGTTGCACTTGCACCGATTGGCTGGTTATGGACGGAGATTTCACCCCCCAATTTTTTCCGCATCTTGACGTTCAGGTCATCAAGGTGACCAAAGACGTCACTCGTTGATCCCCATCGCCATTCCCCCTGAACATGGATTTGTTTTGCTATACTGACGAAGCGATTCTCTGCCCTAGGCCCTGCTTTCATTCAGGGCAGATGGTGAGACCATCGCCAAACCTCGTCCGCGCCATCCGACACCATGGCCCACGTTCTGTCTCCGTCGCAGACGGCTGCTCTCTTTGACATCCTGACCCATTACGACACCTACGCCCAGATCCGCGAGTTTCGAAGACCTGGAAGTCTTGCAAACTATGGTCCTCCTTTCACTGCGCAGCCAGCGAACCCCTCTAGTTCGCCCGCCCTACAGGCCCTAGTCTCCAAGTTCCTGCTGAACCTGCCGGGCTTGAACAATTTGCCCGAGAAATGGTGGACCGTGCAATGTCAAGAAATCATCGAGAGTCTGGAGAGGGCGAACCTGAGCGAGAGCTACGACAAGGGCGTCATTGGCAGCCGCAAGACGCTCGCGACAGCGATATCAGCCCTGATCGAATACCCCGTCAGAGGCACCTTCGCTGGCTTCCCAAAGATCAGGGAGCGCGACCCCAATTACGACCTCACCAACGCGGATCATTTGCAACGTGCGTTTCGTGACTTCCTCAATGACTGCGTGTATGGCAGTATCCTAGACGACATGGTGCAGAAGACCGCCGAGACAGACAACCTCGACGACCATCCTCAATTAACCAAAGCCGTGCACGAGTTTGTGCTTGTCAAGTGAGCTACTTTTTGTTTGTTTGCCTTTCTTTAGCAGTCCGACTCCTGGTCCTGCTTCTTGCGCCACGGATGTGATACTGACTGATCGGCTCCAGCATTGCCTCCTTCATGCACTACACTCTTATTCTGTCTCCCAAAGGCCAGTACTTGCTGAAGCTGGTCGACAACGCCAATAAACTCGTGCCTTATATGGTTCTTCGACAGACACTGAAGATCGGAAATGTCGCGACTATGATAAACGCCATGGTCAAAGTCGGTCTGGCCAAAATGAGTGTTTCCAGTGTCACCAACTGGATCGGGTTGACTCAGTCTCAGGACGAGGGCACGAATCTCATGCAAACGTACGCATTAACAGCCTCCCCTCCTCCCTTTTATCCCACGACTTATCACATATACTGACTCAATCTTGCTGCGCAGGATCATCTCCACGGTCCTTAATTGGGATATTAGGGATCTCGAGTCCAGGGCGGCCAAACTCGAGCGAGAACGCGCAAAACCGGGCAAGGAGCAGCTGCATGCCCTGAAAGACTACGTGCATCGACCACAAGAAGAGCAGGATCGCATCCGAAAGGAAAGCCTAACGCAGTCCATCTCGATTGTAACGGCCATCTTGAAGGACACCAGATCCCCCTCTACCGAGCTGACCGACGTCCATCACAAGCAAGCGTTGGAGTACCTCTCGATCCACCTGTCCATTCGTGACCGCAAACAGCTTATCCAATGCCTGTGCAAATCTTCCCCTGATCACCTAACCCTGTCTGTCCGGGAAGTTGTCGACGCCTACGAGCCTGTCATACGACGGATGCACAAGGCCATCGATCTGTCCTCGACACTCTCCGATTTCGAAAACTTCCTCAAAGACCTGATCAAGCTGGCGAGGATCCACACAGACAAGTCCAATAAAGCCATCGTACCAACCGTGGGGGATTTTGTCCGGTTGCTGCGCAAGCATCAGCGGTCATGTCACATCTTCCTGCACCAATGTGCCAAGAATGACAAGGAATTAACGGATTGGTACCTCGACTGGGCAAAGAAAGCAGCCTTACAGTTCAGACAAGAGTCCAGCGGAGACGACTCGGACGTTTTCAAGCACGGAAAAGGCGGAGCCGGCAACCTGACCTCGTCCCTGCACGCCCTCTTCGCCTCTCTGCCTCAAGAAACCCAATACCGGATCCTGCCCATCCTTGACTCTCACTCCGAGTATCTAGACAAGATGCACGAACAGTCCGCGGCCCGGCTCACGAACGTCTTGAAATCACCGCCGTCCAAAAACCCGGCCATCGCAAAGATCTTCTCCTCCAACCACTCGAACCACTCCAGTCGGCCTTCTTCAAGGACATCTAGCCCCGCTCCGCCACTAGACCGCAACGAGGGTCATGCGACGCCGTCAACGACAACTCCGACATCGGGATCATTCCCCACAATGGTCTCGGAGAGCGACATGTCCCGCGAGATCAAGGAAAATCCCACGCCAGAAGTCTCTTCCAACCCCGGCCCTGGCTCATTCCTCGCGCGCTGGCAAGCGCTGCTCGACGCCACGCCGATCACCCCGTTGAGTCAACAAGGAAGTCCAAAGGCCGCGAGCTCGCCCGAGGTGGTAGAAGCGAGCGCGACGGACGTGGATGGTTCAAAGCTTGTAAACTTTAAGAACAAGGAAGCGAGAGGGGAGAAGATCCGAGTCGAGGACCAGCAGCCGCTTCTTGGGAGCATTGGGAAGGAAGATGACGTGGGAATCAGTCAAGGGGCAAGAAAGAGACAGAAACAGTTGAAGATTGTGATCGACGCTATGGGAGACGAATTCAGGCAGTTGCTGGCCAAGGAGGCGTGTTATTGGTGAACAGTCCACTACTAGGGAAAGGAGACGAGGGATATACATCCTGGTTTGTCGGCACGACTTGGCCGGGCAAAATATTTCTCTATGGAAAGGGGTGAGGGAATCCGAAAAGATTGGTTACAGAAATTGTGACTCGGCTCTGCTCGACTTTGCGACTTTTGTTCTTGATACCACGCCATTCCGCGTCTTCGGCACGAGCGAATTGGATTAGACTGAGCCCGGCGGAATGGAGACCCTACAGAAATCGTCGGGCGGTTTGAGCCACACCCCAAAGAGAACGACGGGGGATTAGCTGCCTTCTTCCCAGCCATCGAGCTGGCGGCCATCTTGGCCCGGTGGCCGAAAGTTGTTCTCTGTATACAGTACAGGGACACATTCATTCGAGCCGGGAGCCTGGAGGAGAAATATGAGATCCGAGAGTGCGACGGGCATGGCCCACGTCTATCGAGATGTTTCTACCACCAGTCCCAACACTGACAGACACAGGTCATGGGCATACACATACAACAAGCGAGGAACGAACAAACAAACGAACACATTTATGAACGAGGGTGTCGCTCCCACCCTTGCCTCAGGACAGAGGAGCGCCGATACATTCTGACGACTCTCATAACTTGTGCAAAGTTGCAACTATGGCTGGCTTGGCCTGTCCTAGCTTGTTTGTCAATACTGTTTATCGAGAGCCAAGACGACTCCTACTTTCCTCTGCTCTGCTCTGCTGTTTGGCTGTCTGCCTGCCTGCCTGTCTGCCCGCCTGCTTGCTTGCTTGCTTTTGAGCCCAGAACGTCCGGAACGACACATGACATCGTCCCTGCCTCACGCTCAAGGTACGATGAGTCATGACTTTGGGATGGAAAGGAGGGTGGATGCATGGTGGGCGGTGGACGGTGAGAGCGCTGAACGCAGACAAGGACATCACGTTTACGTGGCCATGGCTATGGGTCATGGACAAGCCCATAACAATCTAACCCACGGTCCACATTGTCGTCATATCATTACCCCGACCGGTCAACGTCGCAAGATCCGCTTTAGACGATATTGTTGCTCTTACACGCTAAAAAGGCCGTGCACTTGGAGTGCGTATATGAGTAGCCTGATTCAAAGATAGAAGGAAAGATGGAGAGGAGGACTTGAACCTGTACCATTGGTTCGGTTTGGCTTTGGAACCTCCAAACAGTATACATGTCTTTTTCCCGTTACCTCGTCAAGACTCATACAAATGGCATATTCTGTCCGACCGTGTTCCACTATACTTTGTCCGGTGAGCATTCTCTTTTGTCTCTAAGTGACCGTAGCCGATGACATCCTCGGAGCTGAAAGCTGTTTGCCTCTTTTTTTCTCTTTTTCATTTTGTTTCGGATCGTTGCTCTCAGCACAGATCATGACCGCGACGCGAATCAATACTGATGAGATGAGTATCATGCGATTCCCCCATGCATACCAATACCAATGCAAGTGCCAATGTGCCGTTTATTCCGAGACCAGACTACCCGTCATGGTATATCCAACGGAACCAACCCGTTGATCGTACCATCAAAGACTCCGTAAGTGGTAATTCCATATGCAAGAGGTCTCAATTTGCGTGTCGAGTGCTGAAAAGCAGTGGGGGAAAAGCGGTCTCCATGAAAGCGGTAATCTCTTATACGACAAAAACGCAATCGGGTATCAATCATCATGGGGCCAGCGCCTCAAAACGTAGAGGTAAATATTCACAAACCGTTCGTCTATCTTCGTAAATTTTGGAGTATCGATTGAATGCGAAGCATCGTCGCCGCTGGCTCTACCGCCCTCGCAGTTGCAGCATCCGCAACCTTCTCTCGTCATCTTGGATCGAACTCACAGTTCGGTGAGATATTGACGTTCTTGGAACGCCATTGACGGGTGAATCCGGTGAATTTGCGGTCGCTGTTATGGTGCCCGGTAACCTTGGCGAAGTTCTAAGGTGGGCGGTCGGAGGCTCTGCTAACGGCGGAGGGCTGGGGTCCGTAACAGCAGCTCCGTAGGTCGGCAGGGATATCGACGGATCAAATTGCTTCCTCGGGGCAGGTGTCTTGACTGCTGTTGTGTATGAAGGAACGCGAGCCAGATCCTCCATATGGTCATACTGAGGGAATGGCGTCCTAGTGCCAGATTGGTGACCATCTTCTTCTTCTTCAGAAGTCCGGCGCGAAATCATAAGGCTGCCTGGCTGACTAGGTGTATGGGAAGGACCGCCCGGAGACGCACCTTGATCAATAGGACTAATTCGTGGATACGAGCTGGGAGCCGATGCACTATGTGGTGCGAAATAATCTTCAGGCATGGTCGTAGACGACGAGTTCCGCCTAGATCGTCTATCGGCTGGTAGCGATAGATTACTTATTTCACCGTCTTCGTTGCCACGCAGATCTTGGATGAAGGAGTCGCCCACTCGAAGATCCTGGAGCCTGCTCTGAAGAGCTATTGGTGACACGTAGTTTCCATTGGCCATTGCTGCCAGACTCGCGAGGTTTTCCTGGGACGCATGGCGACTGTGGAGGTACGGAGTCCCAGGAGTAGACAGGGCGGTTCCAGGTGTTCGATAGCCATCCACATCGGAATATAAGACATCCAAAGTATGCTTCCCGTACACGGGTGGCGCTGCATTGGCCAAATCGTTAGCAATAGCTGCCCTCCCGGCTTGAGGCGATTGGTCAACCAGATCGTTGTTTTCGTTGATAGGTAGACTGGGAGATATGTAAAACGAAACCGGGAGGTTGGCGCGTAGTTCAGAAATGTGGCCGTCGGGGTTGTGTAACTGAACATTAAATTTCACTTTATGTCGAACCTTGATCCCTCTGACATTACAGTCCTGTAAGCATTGGTTCAGAGATTTGGGCAACTCAAGATATCGAGAAAATTGATAGCCTTCGGCAACTTCGTCGATGATTTGCTCATCCTTTTCAGGCTCGACCTTGTAAAGATCCGACGCAATGACTCTGTCCATCTTGGTCAGGCCATTGTTCAGAGCGGATATTCCCCATTCTGGATCAACGACAAACTCTTGCTCTTCTTTGACCTGCGTAGAGACATTGCCGATCACCAGACCTTTCAAGAGAGATATTAATTTGAAGTCAACTTGAACAAATGACCCAAAGGCGACCGCCTTGTTGGGGATGCTAATCGAGTATTCGATTTTATTCGGCCATATATTTTCGACAGACTAGTAGCGGGTCAGAGAAGGGAGAGGGGCAATGCATGTAAGAACGAGGACTTCGTACCATTGCGTGGGAAAGTTCCAAGGCATTCGAATCCAAAGTGCGGACGATGCGCAGAGGTTTGCGGACGACAATGTCCCTCCCCCTCTTGCGACTGATTTCAGCCTTCAAGCGGTAGATAATCCACGCATCCTTCAGACCTTCCACACTTTCGGGCAGAGAACCCTCGAGGATGCATTGGAATGGCCACTCGTAGTTGTCGGGTTGTAAAATTTCGGTCTTGCCTTTCCCAGGGTCTCGAAACGTCCAATTCTTCTCGAAAAAGGTCTTCTCCTTGTAAGTGGTACGCCTGCCTGACATGGAGGATGTGGAAGTAGTCTGCCATCTGTACACATCAGGTTAGTTGGAAGTGATCACGCGAGCGAGAGGAATTGCCGGAATTGCCGCGGGACCATCATTCGACTTACGACATATGTAGTATTCCACTCAGAGTCAAGTCGACGTGGTGGATAGTCATAGGTTCAGTGAGGCACAGAACCAGAGACCCCGACAGTTGGGCACTTGCAGCCTCGTCTTCATTGCCCCGAAACACGATGTAGTCATTGTCCAGGCGGATATCGAAGTGTTTGACGCTGCTACTTGAGCCTGAGTGAGAGGTATGCGCACTCAGAAACTTGAGCGCCATGGTTTGTGATTTGGAAGGTGCCAGACCGTGGAGATGACGGTTGGCTAAAGAAGACGCAGGAGAACTCGAAGGACGCTGGTTCAAGGGAGTGCGCGAGACTGGCTCATGGCGGCCGGAGGAGCATTCGGGAGAATGCTTGCGGTTTAGACGAAGGAGCGGCCTAATCTGCTGGATTGGAGTAAGAACATTGGAAGGAGAGTGACGAGATAGTACAAGGAGAAAGGGAGAAGGATTGAGAATGAAGCATATGACAATCAACAAGGCATGCGCAATGAGATCGCACAGGCTGATACACCCAAGCTTCTACTCATACGCAGGTGGGCATGCAACAGAAATTTGAGGTGATGACTGCGACAGAAAAAAGATAATGATCGGGTCGGAGGGAATAATTGGACGGAAGGGTACAAAGAGTGGATAGTCGGGTTGCGTGCTAGGTGGGCGCTGGGGGGGCGCTGGGCGGGAATGGCTGAGATGATGCAGGTAGAGTGGCTAATGGAAGGGCCGTGTGGGAACTTACTGTTATCAGGCGCGGGTCTCTCTGATGAGGGTCCACTCCGGCTGTTCTCTCGCCGCCAGTCGATAGCGGCAGTGGCGGTGGTGGTGCTAGGGGCGCCGCTGATGATGCTGATGCTGAAGATGCCGATCCTGGTGCAGAGTCTGTGGGCTGATGAGACTTTCTAGGGCCCCTTCTAGGTAAGGCTCCCGCGAATGAGACCGATGACGCCGAGGCCCCGTTAGCGGTAGAACCTAGGCTTGAGCCTGTGCCTGACAATGATGCATCTGCTGTAACGACTTCGGCTTCGATGGGTGCTTCGATGGGGAAACTTGCAGCTTCCTCGATGTCGTCGTGCCGAGGATACGGATAGCTGCTTTCGGTGAGTGTAATGGCAGGTATCGAGCTTGACGACGACGCCGTCGTCCAGAGAGAGGATGTTGTGTTCGTCGTATCGGATCTCCCTCGTCCATTGGCGTTGGCCATACTGCCGTCCTCGAGTCTTCTCTCTTCACCGTCTATCTGTCTCACGACGGGGGCTGGATCCTCCACCTGGGCCGCCAACGGTGTCCTGGCCTTGACTTTGGCCCTGATGATTGCTGTGGCCTTCATAGTGCTCAAAGGGGCCAGCACTGGCGCTGGAAGTTCTCGTAACAAGGCTCTCGTCCCCGCCGATCTTTGATTCCCCAGCGTCATATTTCGCCTTCTCTTTGTCTGGCAGTATCCTGGGCTTCTCTTTGCGGTGTGCTTGTGTCCGTCGGCATCTGGATCCTCCCAGACCACTGTTCCACTGAATCTGGCCAATCTAATTCGAGGCTGCGCTACTCTTTTGGCGAATTTTCCTGCTGAAGGCCGCGATCTCTTCCGAAACCTTGGTCACCTGGACGGTGGGCTCGTGGGTACAAGTAGTCGAGAGGAAATGATCGGGAAGCGCAGGAACAGGCGGATACTGGCAAGATTGACACCCAAGTAGAGATAAGTCTGATAGCACTGATTGCAAGGCCGATAATGGAAGCACGATAACCGATGTGATGTCTCTTCTGACCAGAAAGGTGAATTGGGGTAAAGCACTCTCCTCTACCATCAAAGTGTTGAGACACGTGGAAAGAGAGCCAGGATCACGGACGGAACCCGAGGGCACAGGAGCGAAGCATCCGACGCTGAGAAATTAATTGTGATGTCCTCGTTTTCCTGCATGGGCAGTGCCTGCGAATACGTGCCCTGTAATGTGTGCGCCGCAACCAACACCTCACACGATCTTTTGAAGAGTGTAGGCCCCCTTTATCATCATTCGTTGCATACCCTCCAGTAGGCCCCTCAGGCCCCTGCAAAAAGCGCTCGGGGCGTCCAGGAGATCGTCAGGGCTGAAAAAGAAATGGCCCTCGATTCCTCGATCTGATTCCAATCACGGAAACATGGCCATCTTAGCAAGCACCCCCCTACTCCCTTCTCCTGTCACCGAACGCACAATCAGAAACAACATTACCGAATACATGATATGGAGTTTGGGCCTCCAGATGTGAAACCCCCAAAACTCCTCCTGCTCAACCATTTTCGTTCTTTGCAGCCAGAAACCGGCGAGTCGTCTCTCCGTAGTGACCGCATCCCCCTTTCTCGCATCTGATCCTGCCCCCTTCTTGACCTCGTCATACCATAGGGGCTGCACGAAGTGCACATGTGGCTACCCCTCTGCCCTTCATCCCACCCTGGCTGATTTTCTTCTGGCTCCTCTGACAGCACTTATGGCTGCTCAGGGAAAGTCTACTCGGAGCGATGGTACCTTGATCCTTGGGAAGGACTTTACCTATACTCTTCTCGGCCCCACGCTCTTTTCCAAGGCCCAAACTCGAGCATTGGCATTAGCAGGTTAGATGGGCTATGGTCACCATCTCGGAACGACGGTGCCGTTCAAAACTCTATGGAGAACAAGCTACAAGGACGAGGGACTTTGCAGAAGTCTGAGGTAATTGAATGGAGTCGGCCCAAGGGAGTTGATCAAACCTCCCCTATCATCCGGCTCACCGGCACTCCCCGTACTAAGCGACTGCTAGAGAATGCTTGCTGCCGACCCATGGTGTCATTGTTTAATCGTCATGTGGTTTGTTCTAGATGAAACTAACTTTTGCCCCAGTGCTGGAATGAGTAGATACAAGTATGGAGTATCTACTGCTTGTCCAGTACCCTCGGCCATGACACTCAATCCCCAAAAGACGTTGTTTACTTGCATAACAAGTATGGACTGGCAGACCCGCTGTGGATGTGAATCGATTGCCATTAAGTCTTTCTACAAGCAGTTGTCGATCAAACTGTCTCCACGCCCCAGCGCGCAAATATCAGGTTTTCTAGCGAGCATCAAAGCGCACATGGCTCGTGCGGAATGCCTTATCACTCTTATCGACGTGCCCAATGCGCTGACCCCTAGGGAATTCCACTTGAAGTTCTTAACGGGCGCCAGCCAAGCGGGGACTTCCAAACTATGCTGGATTGTAGTCGAATTAGGTGACACACCCGATAGTGACATCCCGTGCTATAGCGAGGCTCTGACATTCCCGCCATCTCGTATATGCAACTCAGGGCCTTGGCTTTTCGGAGATATCTATTTGACTGCTGTTTGGGGCTTCTCGAGGTCGGTTCCAAGTGCGCAAGTGGCCTTGAACAATGTGGATATTAGCCTGTTCGTCCCTTGCTCATACACATGAAAAATGCGCGCGTACCTTCGTTACACGTCGTGATAATGCAATCCTGTTCGAATGCGACACCACTCAGAGGATGATCATCTATCTTCTTGGACTGTCAATTGAATGTCAGTAGCCGTACCGTGCAAAACTCTTGTCTGGCCGCATCTTTGCAGACCTACCATTACGGGGGGTAGTTGAGCCGTCCTTGCTCGGGGTTCAACAGCGTGGTTGAGAAATTCGGATTCGTCGACAGTGTCAGGTTGGACGAAACTTCCAGTCCGGTTTGAATCGGATCTGATTCGGTTCACGATACTTGTGCTCTCCGTCCGTTGTCGAAGGAGCGAGATCGAGGGAGATGAGATGCTGCCTCTAGTCCTAGCTGTCGCCTGTGTTCTGTGTAAGCATGCTGTCAAATCGACTTTGGGGTTTCATGGTAATCAGCTTACCCCTTTCGGACGATGAAGCATGCCAACACTAAAATCCCAAAGGAGGAGCTTGCAGTCATCGCCCACACTGCCAAAACGATATGTTCTCTCGTCGCAACGCCATGGATCGAAGGCAACAGCCGTCACCCACGAATCATGTCCAGGACATCGAGCAATAATCTGACGTTCGGGTAGCGACCAAATAGTGACGAGGTCGTCTTGGCCTCCGGTGAGCACGTATTTGCCATCAGGCGACCAGCATACGCATGTGAACCCGCCGTAGTAAGAGGAGTATATATCGGTCAGCCTGTGTAACATTAGTCTCGGAAATCCTGAAAGGCAGTGTGAGAAGTGATTGATTCCTCTGTGTACCTTTCTTGAGGATAATCTATTATCCGAAGATAACCATCATCGCCGACTACAGCGAGATGTTTATTGTCCGGCGAAAAGGAAAAGTCGGTGATGTTCTGGTTGGAAATTCGCCAGCAAGCTACTGGATTGGCCTTTTGATTTGACGAGTTCACACTTTTGCTGATGACCAATGTGGACTGATCTTCATCTGGGATACTGATCGCTTCATCTACCAGCTCTTCCGAGACAAAGGGTGCATCTTCCTTCTCTTTGTCGTATACGATAAGTGTTCCGTCCATATGAGCCGCTAGGAAAAGATTCTCCGATCCAGGTATCCATCTTATCGTGGAAACGGCCGAGTTGTTGATGATCCCATTCTTGTTGATGCGTGCATACTTTTGCGATATTGGCTCATACCAGATAATATCGCTGGCCGAAGAACCCATAACAACGTCCATGTGCGTCGAATGCTTGGTCATGCTATTGACATCGTGACACAACATGTGAGCCTGCAGCGACCGATTAGTTGATACCAACACTGGCAATGGGATCGCAATGAGCTCCGCAAGCATAACATGGTATTGATGAAGAGACAGTCACTTGCCTTGGTGAAGAGAATCTTGGTCATTGGGTCCTGTTTGGACCCTGAAGACAGATCCAGCCACTGAAAAGCCCGGTTGATGTTGACAAATGCAAAGGTCCCTCGCTGATCTCGTTCCTGAAGTTTCTTTGGGAGAGATTCGTGGGGAATGACGCGAGAGACGAATGAGGAATTGCTCTTAATGATGTTGTTCTTGGGTTTTCGTCTCTTGAGACCATCTCTGCTGATGACGGGGGAGAGAGCAGCATTCCCTTCACCGAAGGCTTTCACGGTACTCGACTTATTGCTTCCATTTTGTGATGTCGCAAGGTTGCTACTATCACTGCCCGTCTCTATTGATATCCTCGGCTCTTTCTCCACTTCTTTGATATCTTTCAACTCCCTTGCGTCCTTGAGCTCCTTGGACTCTTTTGTTTCCTTTGAATTGTTTAATCCCAAAGTTCTCCAGCGCAAAAGACTGCTCGTCGCGGTAGTGGTTCTGTAGAGGTCTGGAGTGATTTGTTTCGGGCTAAGCGATACTAGAGACAATTTAACACCACTGGTGGGGGGAGCAACGTTGGTCGCAAGGGGATTGGGATTGACGATAGGAGCTTCAGAAGGATGTGGTGGAGGGGTAGCGAGTTGTAGGTCGTCTCTTAAAACATATGTGCCTGCTCGTCTGTTACTAGATTTGTCGGTGGCAAAGGGGAGAATCGTAGCTACCTTCGCCAGCCTGAAATGTGTATTCGGGCCCTTCGCGAATGGTCAGGGTATTCGCAGTTTCAAGGGTTGTCGCGATTAAGCCACTGTTGATGGGATACCGCGGTGGTGGGGGAATCGCACTGCGCAGGAGCTATCAGCGGAAGCCAGGAGAATACGCAATGAGATCTCGAACGTACAACATGGTAGCCGAACACGAGCGCAAGAGATTCTATCACCGGCGCAAAAAGTGTCAAGGAAAGGAGAAGAAGGTACCGCGCAAGGCGAGGAAGTTGCAGTTGTACGAGGAGGAGAGTAGAAAATGCTGGGAATGGTGGAAGTGGAGGATTGAGTTTCGAGTTCAATCGTGACATCGAACGGGTTTGGGGGAGGCGGCAGGTCAAGGGGCCTACCGACTTAACCCACCAGCCCACTAACCTCTTCTCCGGGTTATCCCTCGAGGATTCGGTGGGTCTCGACCTTCTGATGCGGGGACTGTTGCGTTCGCCGACCACAATTCAGCCGAAACTGTTGATTGTCGCCGCAGCTGCCGGCGCCGCCATAATCAAATCATCTCAAAGTGTAGCGAGACACTAAATGCCAGATACATGCGCCGGGCTCTGCCACAGTACAAAGCCTTGGGTTATGGCAGGACGATGTGATCCTTCACCCTTCGAGTATAGTTGCTCGAGTCTCTTTCCGCACAAGGTTGTTGACGGTTTGCGACCTCCTGATCAAAGATTCCAAGTAGCGAGTCAGTGTCTTGGAGGAAATCAGATATCATCGGGCCACTTCATAACAGCCAGCTCTTCCCTTAGTATACTCGTCAGTTCCTGGCTTACAGCCTCGAGGTCTTCCCGAATTTTCTGTGTATCTCTGTCCTCCTCGTCCTGAATATCACTCTCGCCCTCCTCTTCCTCTTCTGGATGACGTTTAATTCCGTTGGTCATCTGCGCATGCTCTTGAGACGACTCAAGACCATTCTCAAGCGACGGTTTCTGCTTCGGTTCGGGCCCTGTCACAGCCAGCAGCACATGATCCGCAACAGGCGCTATGACAGAGATGGCTCCCATGTTTTGTGCCTCAACCACGAGAACATCCTCCGACGCGACCGTGTAAGCTGCAGTCATGGTGGTAGATTGAGTGCGCATAGCTTTGATCGATGGCGTGGTATCCCTGTAGGCATATGCGAGTATTGATCCGTTCAGAGCAGAGACCATAAGGGAAGAGACATTTTCACTCCAATGTAGGGCTTCTCGTAACAGCGAAGATAAGCGATCGGAGTCCAGCAAACAGACTTGGGTCATCTTGAATCGTGAAAGTAGAGCTGTTGTGGGTCTGGCGTTGGGTAGGGAAGTTCTCGAACGCAACCAGCGGAAATACTCGAACTGGATCACCCAAGGCGCGCCCAGCGATGAAGTTGCAGAACATGCTTGGCAGCCTGCACTGCCCCAGCCTCCAGGTGCCTCGAACGTCATCCGGGTCAATTATATTATTTTCACCTACCACATTATAGGTTCATACATACCTAGTAATACTATAATAAGCCACCGCCACAACGACTGGCTGGGTATTAGTGCTGTACGTTTGTTAGTGATGAAACATGGCACTGTCAAAGTCAATGCAGCAAACGTAGACCACTTCTCTTGTACCACCAAGCAAAGTTAGAGGTATATCTACAAAGTGATCAGAATGATATTCAGATTCTAATACAGCTTTTGATGCAGCTACATGATGCCAGAAGTCAATTCTATATTAACCCCTGGCTGGGTTCAACTCTGGTGACATGGTTACAACCTTGGTCCAGGTTTCTGGATTTGAAGCGTGCCTTTCGAGGCCTGCGATATTTGACGACTCTTGTCGAATTCACGAACCACTATCTCACATCGAACTTCCCTGCAGAGTCGTTTTCTCCTATCTGGTGACAGTTTCTCGGCAAATACCAGTCCGCTGGCTCTTTCGACTGCTTCAAGAGGGACTTCGAAATCACTCAAGCTCTTGGAGTTGGGTATCTCAGCGTTGGGCAAGACGAAAGCGCCGAGGGCTACAGGTCCATTTGGGCTTTGGGCTGCCTCCTCAGCGAAGATGACTTTGAAAAAGTGGGTGGGCACGGCGACATTTGGGGGATTGCCAATCACTTCGTAAGAAACCCTCCATTTCCCATCCCGTTCGTCTTTTTTGGGCAAGTACAAGGGGCCAGTTACCACTCGTACACTGGGGAATCTCTTAACCAGATCTCGACAGAATTCCTCAAAATGAGCCCAATAATCTCGATTGAACCCCTCTCCAACTTGTGGGCACATATTGCTTAAGACGAATGTGGAATCCATCGCCTCTTGTGACCATTTCGCATCTGCTGCTGGGACCTGATGCCCCCTGTCGTACCCGCTGCGAAAGTAGTCGGAAAGTTTTGCTCGAAACATTGGCGGAATCGACAGATCCTCGTAAAACACGCTGTTCCGTCGAGATCCGTTGTTCAGCATCAGAGACTGCGCCGTGAAATGTTCTGCTACCCAATGAGGGTTCCGAGTGAACCTATTAAAGGCAGAGAGATGAGAGGGTGTGGTCAAGGTATCGGCAATGGGGCCAGGAAACCCATAGCGGAGGATGCCAGAGGGATCGACGGGCGGGATGATGGCAGGTGAAGGAGGTTGGACCGGTACAGCAACTGGTACTGGAACTGGGACAGGGACCGGAGTGGGAGTTGAGGGCGCAGGTATTGTTGGCGACTGATTCAATGTCCCAGTCGGTATGGACTCATCTTTTCGGTGGCCAGGAAATAGTAAAGCCGTCAGCGACGCGCCTGCAAACGCAGACGTCGCTGCTATGATACCAATAGTAATCTTGGACATGTACAGTTGTTGGCAGGCAATGTTGAAATCGTGCCATAAACAAACGCGTCTCTCAGATCGCAGAGATGGACTTTGAGAGGAAAAGTTGAAACTGTTGGTTAGCATTGTGCTGTAGAGGCCAATCGGCAACGAGATCATAGGTGCCGCTCGCCAGATCTGCTTACCCCTGCGTTTGGCCCCGAGCGTAGTGGATTCCTGTACTCGCAGCTGAAGATGACAAGGCCTGGGCCAGCCCGACTGCATGGATTTAGGCGGCCCATGATTCGCACCTCTCTCGCCCCGAGTTTCAACTAAACCCTATAGGTGCGTAGTCTTAAGGTCCTCTAAAGAAGTCCTGGAATGTTCGTCATCCCACTTGCTGTAACTGCGCTCGCGCCTCCTAATAAGAAGATACTGTCTCCAACCTGACATTTTGCGTTTCTCTTTCCAGCTTCGACTCTTCCTAAGGGACTTCAAGTAAAGCATGAGCAATCTCTTACAACACTAACAGATCACATTGTACAGTACAATGCTATATTTTTGACCTTGCAACTCAAGAGGAGAGAATACGCGCAAGATGGCCGTCGACAATGATACCAGAGGCTGGATTATGACATGCATCAGCGGCATTGGTAGGCTGCAGATTTCTCCCAGACTGGACCTCAACGGAAACTGATTCTGTGTCTTCATAGCATGTGTTATCGGCTCGTCGATCATCTGCATCGATATTGTAGCACGCCAGTTTCCAGTTTGGCGACACTTTTCGATATCCGAGAGTGATGGGTTTCTCTCTGCATCACTAAGCCTCAGCTTCGGGGTTATGGTACGTATGTTCTGGGTACTCAGCGATCTCCCGGTTGACCGCAAAACAGTTGTTCTCCGCCCTGTATTCGATGCTTCCTCAGTCGAAGACGTATTTCAAAGACGCGGGCTATTCGGCACGGGCAGCATCATACCTCCTGATTGGGCTGTTTTTGGCAGGTGTCATAGGCATTCAGATCTTCTCCCGCGCCCTGCATCATTTTATCCCATCACACGTTGTGGACTGCGATCATACTCACGACGAGGAGGAGGCCAAGAATCCCGAAGAAATGTCAGAACATGCGCAGGACGATGAACATACCAACGGCCTCCCAATATCCAGAACCCACTCCAGGCCGACGGAAGAGGAGGATGAAGATACACCTTTACTCTCACGAACCACAAGCGTTAGCCCCAAAAAGCCGCAGCATGAAAGGACAGAGGAGGAGGGATCAGCTCGCCAGCCTACATATCACACTGCACAGACCCACCGAAGGTCGTCGGCGATGTCTAGAACACTCTCGAGGACACTTTCGAAATACGTCGGAGGTCAGAAGGACAATTGCGACGAGAACGGCCCGTGCATGGGATTTTCGGACCCATGCGGCCAGGACTGCTTCAAGGCTGTACACAGGCGAGGCTCTGTGTTACCAGGACAGGGCCCTTTCTTGCGCTCACCCACTTGGCGCAGCGGCACGACTGAAGCACGCGGCGGGTCGACGCTGGGAGAAATCGAAGAGAATCCGTTGTCAAATGGGTCGACTCTAAGGCGTCATCCGACTGAGGACGCCGATACGGGGAGCTTGAAGCCGGAGTTGCACCGCACAAGGTCGTCAACACACCACTTCCACCATCCTCCCCACCAACATGCAAGCGTAGAGGGGTCCGAACGTCGGCTGTCAGAGCATTCACACGCTGGTGGATACGAACATCACCATCATGTTCCCACTAATGCATTCATGTCAATTGGTCTGCAGACTTCGTTAGCCATCGCATTGCACAAGGCACCGGAAGGCTTCATTACGTACGCCACCAATCACGCCAATCCTCAGCTTGGTTTTGCCGTTTTCATGGCATTGTTCATCCACAACATCACGGAAGGCTTCGCCATGTCCCTACCTCTATACCTCGCTCTTGGCTCCAGATTCAAAGCCATAGCGTGGTCGTCCTTCTTGGGTGGTATTTCACAACCACTCGGAGCTGCCGTTGCAGCATTGTGGTTTAAGCTCGCCAACAAGAGCAGCCTGGGTGCTCCAACTGAAGGGGTATATGGTGGCATGTTTGCCGTCACGTCGGGCGTCATGACCAGCGTCGCGTTGTCACTGTTCTCGGAAAGCCTGCAGCTCAGTCACAACAAGAACATTTGCATTGCCTTTGCTTTTTTGGGTATGGGTATTTTGGGCTTGAGCTTTGCGCTTACGGCAAAATAGATTCCTTGGGGAACTAAGAGCTGTCCAGTCAATTCATCTTTAATCCCTGTATAATGCATCAATGAGTAATGACCGAAAACAATGAGGGCGTATTGGCGAATAGATTTTCCAAAAAGAGTCACACGGTGGTTGGCCACATTTCAGCCTCGTCACCATCACCTCTGGCGGTGAAATAGGCGGCGTGGACAACAACATCAGCTTACAGATGTACTTGGGAAAGATGTTTCCTCACTCAACACATATGTTATCACAGATGACGATCTATCGATGACTTTTACCCAGGCTTCCGCCATGCACCCTTTGGTCGTACAACTTCAGCCTTGGGATGCCGAGCACGTGAGAATAAGAGAGGAAATGCGCCGAAAGAGGCTAGCGTGTGGATCTGTCTTGTCCGCGAAGCCGCCTTGTCCGCCTTGCATATCACGGCCACACGGCCTTATTGCAGCTGGTTTATCAAACCACTGCTTATCGATCCACTTAGTTATCACTCCGTCTCCCTAGATCGCAGGCTGCATCACTCAGATCTTACCAGCAACACACCGACTTGGCCCAGATTCAACACCCCACATACAGTGTTGCCTTTTACCAAGTTCAATGACTCATGACCAAGTCCAATCACTCCTCACCTTCAGACCCCTGACGGCGTCTGCGCCTCTGGTTGCCTGGAATCCTTCGCAGGCATCAGCCTCCTTCTCCGGCACAATTCATCAACACTCCGAGCAGCAGCTTAGCAGCATCAGTCAATGGACAGTGGAAACGATTCCAATTCATCCAGAGGTAATACCAGTTTGAGGAATCCCCGCCGTGAGTCAAGGTCCAATCCACTTGTGAGCCGGTGAGTTTTGTAGGCAACAGAAATCCTTCAAATGGTTGTCCGTCAAAGCTTGTCCGCCACAGGCGCTTCGTCGAAAATTGTATAAACCTGCCACCGCCGTCTTCAATCCGACTTGTAAAATCTCCCCTCAATCCATTCCACATTGCCGTTGTCAGCCCTTCAGTCGTGCCTTTTTACCTTTTCTGCTTCTCTTTTCTCCAGCCGTCACGATGTCTAAATCCGAGCAAGCCGCCTCCAAAGCTGGAGAGCGTGACGAAAACAGCAACCCCAAGACTGAAGAGCCGAAACAGAAGGAGGAGCAGGTGAAGGAAGACAAGCCCAAGGGACCACCGGTTTCTAAGGGAAGTATCAACGAGGCCAAGGCGCTGTATTCGAAGAAGGATCAGGATGGAAAGGACCAATGGGTGACGGAAGAGCCCGTTGACGTTGTCGAGGCCGCCGAGAACGAAGAGACTGCCAAATTTGCCTTTTTGGTCCGCAAACAGAAAAGTTACGACAGCCGCAAGGTGAGTTGGCGGGTTTGTTTGTCGTCTGACCACCACCCTCGTCAACAAATCTCGGGGCATGTTGACTAGAACGATCGCTCACACAAGGCTGCAGAAATACGACATCCACTCGATCATTGTCCAAAGTCCTTGGCTCAAGAAGTCATTGGGTGTCATCCTCGAAGATTATCCCGGTATCACGACCAATCTCGACCGACTTGTCTTTCGCGCCCCATTTCACCCATTCGTGCATCGATGGGATAAGCTCACGTCGCTCCTCGAGGAGGACAACTTTGAGGAGGATATCGCCCGGGATCACCTCAAGCTTTTCCGTGACACTCTGTTCGAGGAACTCGAGAACGCCATCGCTGCCAAAATCGACCTGGTCAAGAACGAGGTCGTCACCTTTGAATACCTTTGGACAATTTTTGAGCCTCAAACACTAGTGTACAGCATGTCGGATGGTAAGGAGTGTGTCTTCAAGCTCAACTCCTCGAGCAGAGTGACGGACTCGAGGCGCGGACTCGAACTTTTGCAACTGGAGGTCTGGTCCGTCGACTGGGACGGCGACAAGTTCGGACAGCACGTCACCTACCTGTCAAATTACGAGTTCCCCGGCACCACACCCATCACCTCCCTTCAAGCATACCCGCTGAAATTCCATCCCGAAAAAGAGCAGCTGATGCATCGACTTGTGGCGCGAGGAAAGCTCTTTGAGCGCCTCGCGGGATACCATTACAAAGCATATCGAGGAGTTGCTCTTGGATATGGCCGTTGTGGGATGATCCGACACAATGTCGAATCTCGAATCATCATCGACTGCGATGCGCACAACCGGTTTCTGCCCAACAACGCCGTGTACTTCAACTCGCTGTTCAAGTCCACCAACCAGATTAACGGTCTATTGTCAGACGAGTCTGAGGAACAATCAGAACAATTCGATTTCGACGGCTTCTTGGACAACGAGTCAGACTACCTTGCCACGCCGGACTCGGGTGACGAGGCGTGCAGCCCCAAGCATCGTCCGCTCACCATGGAAGAACTGCTCCTCGCCGTGCCATACGTGCGAGGTTATGCGCTGAAAACCAAGAAATGGGTAGGTCAACATGCGAGTTGAACCGATGGCTCTGATAGTCTTCGTCAAGCCGTCAATCCCCTCTTTCATCCCCTGTTCCTGATACACAGGTCCTTCTTTCAATGCTAATGGAGGTTGTGAAACAATGTAGCTCTGGTTCTATGTCGATCAGGTCGAGGAAATCAAGTTTGCCGACAACGCTTTCGCATCGCTAGTGCTGCCCAAGGAACAAAAGTCGTTGATCCGCGCATTCGTCGAGTCTCAAGTCAAGTACAAGGACGACTTTGACGATGTCATTACCGGCAAAGGCCGTGGCATGATCATGCTTCTTGCTGGCCCTCCTGGGGTGGGAAAGACTTTGACGAGCGAGAGCGTTGCCGAAGACATGCGGGTGCCTCTGTAAGTTTAACGCCTTGAAAAGAAGGTCATTCACAGGGAGCCCAGAGCTAACACGAGACTTAGCTACATGATGTCCGCCGGAGATCTGGGGCTGGATCCCTCTGGGATTGAAGAGTCGCTCAACCTGGTGCTTGACATGGTCAGCAAGTGGAATGCAGTGTTGCTGCTAGACGAAGCCGACGTTTTTCTCGAGGCAAGAAGCTCCAATGACCTCGAGAGGAACAAGATGGTGTCAATCTTCCTCCGTGTGCTGGTAAGTAGGCAACTACGCCCCCAACGCTGCTCCCCTGGCACCCAGCCGACCCCATCACCCCCTCGCTCGGGCGCCATTGTGTTTCTTGAGGAACCTGTGTCAGCGCATTTTCCTGGCCAGGAAAACTTGAAAGTCCTAGACGAGCAGATCTTGGGTTTTCTTTACCAAGACGCGCGCGCCTTGGTTGTCCAAATCGGGCTGCGGGATTTGGGGTCCGCCGCACTTGTTTTGCACAACCCACCACAAAGCACCGGACATGCATTTTCTTGCATTTCACCGTTATTTCTGAGACATGCAGGCTGATCAGATGGACAACGCTGATGGAATTGGCAGGAATACTATGAGGGCGTGTTGTTCTTGACGACCAACCGGATCACGAACATTGACGAAGCATTCCACAGCCGCATTCATGTGACGGTCAACTACCCCAGCCTGTCAGTCGAGTCTCGCCGTCACATCTGGCAGACCTTTTTGGGGGCGGATCACCCGGTGAGCGGAAAAGACCTGGAGCGCCTCGCCCGGGTGGAGCTGAACGGGCGACAAATCAAGAACATTTTGAAGACGGTAGGTTCTTCCGCTTTTTCTCTTCGCAAACACAGGAAGAATGGGAAGACCCACCGCCCAGAAAATGGACGCAGATGGAGGATATGTTTTCATTTTTGAGGGCCGGGAGTCATTTCTCGATTGTCCGATCAGAAATATCTGCCCTTTCCATTCTCATGGTTTTTCTCCCTTCCGTGAATCCGAATGGTGCTAATACCTAGCCTACCTGCAGTCGCAAATGTTGGCACGAAGCGAGGGCACCACCAGCAACAGCAGCAACCAGGAACCCACCAAGGGTGCGCAACGTGGACCAAAGGTGGAGTTGCGCCACATCGAGACGATCCTGGCCATTGAGCAGCGAGGCACGTCATGGCAGCAGTAAGGGTGATTGGGCACCAAGGGTTGAACGAGGTGCTACCTCTAGACAGGCACTCGTTGCCTTTGCACGGGCCCGAGTGAGGAGTTGTGGAGGCAACGGTACCAGGTCATGGTCTGTGGTAGTGTGGAAGAAAACCCTGGCAAGTGTGTGGTAAGGCGACCGGGATAAGGGACAGAATTAAGCGAACGGACTCAAGGTGTCTACTGGATACGAGCCGTACTTGACATGATGGAGTTTTGGGACGGGAAACTTTACTAGTACTAGCAGTGAGCAATGCAAACAATGACTAGGTACTACAAGAAGGCAACTGGACCAAGGTCGAGCGGATGCAATGCTTTGTGTCTACTACCACCACTACCCATGCACCCATGCACACACGTGTAAGCACCGAGTAGAGCAGGTACTCAGATGTAGGTACCCACGGTGCCACGGTACCCAGCGTACTGTAGCTAGGTGGGCACTGGATAGATGTACTGGAAGGTCAATTAGTGGCATACGAGCTCTGACAACTTGACAAACCTGACGAAAGGCACAAAGCGAGAGAGAGGCAGGCATCCACACTCCATCCTCCAGACTTGCATGCTGCATGCATGCATGCTACAGTGCGCGCCCTGCACTGCACCCTGGAACTGAGACATTGCTAGGAAAAGTGGCGAAGATGCATGCATACGTGCATGCAAGAGGCAAAGGAAGAGCCTCCAGCCTCTAGCCTCTAGAAATATTCTCCAACCTCAAATCTCAGAAACAAGGAAAGATACTTATTATTTTTTCCATTCCAAGGCCTGCTCGCCTGGAGGGGATGACGATCCATGTGTTTCATAAACTATGAACATGGAGATGAGCACAGCTTCGAGTAGAGTGGCAGGGTCTCTCTCTCTCTCTCTCCACCCGGGAACTGGGAAGTTCAGTTGTCAAGGACCCGGAGAAATGTGGTGTGGAAGGGTGTGGTGTGACTACAAATTATTTCTTTTTTTCTTAAAAAAAAAAAAATAAATTCCGGAAATGTCACCGGGCTGACCTACAAAGTACGATAACAAGTCCAAGTAAATGTACATGCATATTTGCGTAAAGAGTTCGGTGGATTTTAAACAAAAACCGTACGATGATACCTACCTACGTAACTTACCTACAAATTACGAATGACGATTTCACGAGTATCACCAAGTAAGATGAATTAGGTTTGTGCAAAACAGCTGTGGTGCAGGCTATAGGGAGTGCGGGCTGAAAATCCCCCGGATGAGGGGGGGGAAAGAGATGATCTTGAAGGGGTGGCGACTTGTGGATTGTGTAGGGTAGGTATTGTGGTTGAAGCTCGCAAGGGAACGAAATTCTTTCAGGTCCACCCAAGAACCTTGGTTTGCGGGGTGTGTGGTGGGAAGAAAAGCAAGAAAAACCTGGGAACGTGGGACATGGGTATACATACCTCGTACGTACTACATGAGTAAGGTACCAAGGTACTTACCGTACATGGGTAAGCATCGTATACTGGCAAGCTCTTATCCTATAGGAGGAGGAGGAACAAGAGTGGGTCTTTCTAGCTTCAGCTGTGGATGGCGCGAATAGGCGAACCGCTTGTGGGTCCCCCGCTCTTTAATGCCCTTTTAATGCGAGGGCAACACTAGCCCCGCCCAGGGCCTGTCGACGCCTGCGGATCTGAGGCTGAGGGGAGTGGGAGCCATGGAAAGGTGGTTCGAGGCAGGTTCTCTCAATGGGCGAGAGAGTGCCGCATTTGCCGTTACAACCCGGAGAATGGAGCCGTATATATTGATTGCTTTACACGGGCTTTTGGCTCGAGAGTCACTGGAGGGGGACGCCATGAGTGACCGAACAGTGTGTGCGCAATACCTAATGGAATAGTATGTGATTGCCCGTGTGCCAGTGGTAGATGGGATTGAATCCAGTTTTACAACCATACTTTGTTCTCTGTATCGTTCGCCCTCTCTTTTCTCTGTACGGAGATGAGTAGCCGGGAGTCAGGAAATTCAATCCACGGTGGGTATCTGCCAGTCAGCACCTGCAGTCCACGATCACCATCATCATTACATCCTGACCTCACTTGGACGGGATGGATGGATGGATGGATGGATGAGTGAGTGATTAAGTAGGCAGTGGGCCAGCGTATCCGAGCAGAGTACCTCGTACCAAGTGGAGAAAGAGAGAGGGGAAGAGACGGACAGAGAAAGCGAGCTGAATAAACTCAAGAGAGGTGTGAGTATGTGTGTGTGTGTGTGTGTGTGGACTTTTGATCGATCCAGGAATTGTATTACATCCGGTGCCATCCCAGCTTGCACTTTGCATGCTTGCCGTGCTTGCCACCACCACCACTGCCAGGTACCAAGTCCAAGAGTCTGTGTTGAAGCTAGGAGTTTGCCCGCGTCTCATGGCCTCTTTCAACGTCCACCATCTCCATTCTCCTGTAACCAGAAAAACCAAATGCTTAGGGGAAAAAACTCCAAAGAAACAGGGAAAGATAGCTCCAAGATATGGTCATTGTCGCAGAGACGTCACTGCAGGACCTCAATGCGAGATATATATGTAAAAAGTACCCAGTATTGCCACTATGAATTACCACTTTGTATGTTTGAGAATGGAAAGAGGAGCCTTGGTCGTCAGTGAGCACAGAAGCTGCCTGCCGCCAGTGCCGGTCACATGCCCATATTAAATTCCTTTTTCCCAATGCTTTCGTTTTTTCCCGGTTTTCCCCCTTCGCCGTTGCTGTGAGCTTTGTTGACAAATGTCATGTCGTCGTCGGTGATCATTGATCGTTGATCAGTTTTCAAAATAAGTCGTGGTAGTGGTCAGGAAAATCATAACCCATTCATCAATCCCTTTTTGTGCACAATGCCTCTCCACACGTCACTCCGTTCCGTGGCTTCTCAGCTTTCATCCCCGCTCCCTCACCTCAGAAAGCTTCGGACTGGGGGAGTCAGGAGAAAATCACTTTCGGTTCCAGTCACCCCAGGTCTGGGAGCAAGGAGCAGTGACGGTCTCAGTGATGTAGACAGATTCCGGCACGGCAGTGTAGGTGACCGTAGCGGTTTCAGTCTCGGTCTTGTAGACGGTGCTGTATGCAGTGGTCGTGGTGGGAACTGGAAATCAGAGTTAGTTTGAGTTCAAAGTTCCAAGGGTGCTCGAAATGTAGACTCACCAGTGATGGTGCTGTAGACAGGCTTGGTCTCAGTCACGGTAGCAGTGGAATAGACGGTGCTGTAGGCGGTGGTGGTGGTTGGCTGTTTACGAAATGGTCAGCATAGCTGCTCCCAAGAAGTTCCTTTGGAGGGGTAAATCTCACCTTGTACACCGTGGAGTAGGCAGTGGAGTAAGCAGTGGAGTAGACGGTGGAGTAAGCGGTGGTATAGACAGTCGAGTAGGCAGTCGAGTAGGCCGTCGAGTATTCAGTGGTAGTCACGTATTCGGTGGTGGGCACACAGGTGCTGGACCAGTCGTTCCAGGCACCGTCTCTCTTAACGGCAGCAGCAGCGGCGCCAGCGACGAAGAGGGCAGCAGAGAAGAACTTCATTTTGATTGAAGAGTTGGGTGATTTGATCTGGGTTGTTTTAAAAACGAGGGAGATGGAGATTGTTTCGAAAGCGAAAGGCTGTGAGGGAAAGCGAAGGAAGATCTTTTGGAGTAGATCGTTTGCTTTGGATTGTGCTTGTTGGGCTGATGATGGAGGAAGAGAAAAGGCGATTGAACAACCTACCGTCATGTCTTTATATCCTTGACTGGCGAGGGCACAATGGGCAAAATAGCATGATGATGGCTGGGCTGCAATTCGACCTGTTGCTGGGTTGGTTTCCTGGTTTCCATCGTCTCGCAGCTGACGATGGTACTGAAAGCGGAAATAGAGAGGAGCGGGGACTGTGAGTGGGCGGGCGGAGCAAGACACTTGGCCAGTCTAAGAGAGGAGGCGAGGCGAGGACAGGACAGCACCAAGCTGGGGTGGGTAGTAAGGTGGGCCTGTAGACAGCCCTGGACCTCTGCACGTCGTAAATGCTGGACGAATCCGCATGGACTGTCTGCATCTGGTCAGCCATTCACCACTCGATGGGCCTCATGCATTGTGTCGACAAATATGGGACGGCAGTGAGGCAGAGGCCGTGCAGTACGTGCAGTGCAAAGTTTTCTGGCAGTTAAAGTCAAACTTTCGGTTTCTTGGAAGTGGTGAAAATAGCTTACGCTATACCAAAAGGGGACTATTAGCGTAACTCTTAGTGCAGTCTTGGCCCGAGGCTTAGCCTGACGCTAGCTTCTCCCCGCAGGGTCGTGGACCAATAGGGTCTGTACGTTAGCGACCAGCCCCGTCTCCTGCCCGTTGTCTTTCCCGTGTAGATTTTGCCCTTTTTCACTCGCCATGTTTCGCAGGGGTTGCAGCCGCTAGGCCACGTTGAGCGCTATACGGGTTGTCCACTTGACAGCCATCTCGTGTCCAGCCTCCTCGGGGGTTTCGGGGGTTTCAACGTCTCAACGTCTCAACGCCCAACAACGGCTGTCGTTCATGCCGTACCATGGACTGGGTGTGCATTGGTGACACTTGGTCTACGAGGTATTGTGCTCAATGCTCACTTGGTTCGACTTCTGAGCATGATATTGTCTGTCACCGCTATACCCTTTTTGGCTGACGGACCGCCGACATTTACGTCATTGGGTCATCATTCGCAAGTACCTACCTCGTACACACCTGGACGAGGAAGAAGCCGCGCTGAGGGTTTCAATATGGACATTGTCCGCGACGTATGGAATTACAACACCACACCACTCCAAAAGACAATCTTACGACTGAGTACCTGCACCGGAGCTCTACGAGGCAAGAGGTACGGAAGGATGTTGCCAGGTACCAGGTACCAAGAAACCAACCACCTCCCAAAAACTGCATCATGTATGTAACTCGGTAATGAGTACTCGGTACATACATAGCAGTAATCTTTGTCAGTCTCACGCACTTGGTTGTCCTGGTTCCCCAAGCGAAAGGCCAATAATGCCAGCCCATTCTTTAATCCTTCTTCGCCAAGCAATACCCGCCTCAGCAGGATTCAGAGGCTTAGCCTACAGCTTAAAACCACAATCACCACACCACTGTCACCGCAGCACCATTGCCACCTTATTTTGGATGCACGTCCCTCTCCAAGTATTATCTCGGGGTTGGTTACAAAACCCCCCAATGGTCATTTGAAAATACCTGACTCTTACAATACTCGAGTACAGTTAGGGCAAAAGGACCCCATGTTCTCGGCCTGTCCTTCCGGGGTAACGTCACCAATAAGACATTCCGGCATCTTCCTGCACGTCTGCACGCCAGGCACCGTGGATCATCACCATGTCTGACTTTTGTTCCATTGTTCCCTCTCCCTCTCCCCGAATCGCATCGAGGCTGGTGGCCCATCGAGAAACCAAAACCGGGCAGAGTTGGCCAGGCCGGCCATGGGGTCTGTGGACGGGTCAACATTTCCAGACATAAACATCGACAGGCAGGATTTGCTTCCCTGAGCCCCATCCGACCGACCCCTCCTGCGTCCTTCAAATCCCTCCAAACCCCTCCTCCCATCTACCTTGTACATACGCCCCTGTTTGTCATTGTTTATTTTTCGGGACCATGGGGCTGGTTGGGCTGGCTAAGACCGGCTATTTGCTGTCAAACAGAGAACCCTAAGCGAACTCCTCCCACATGCTCGGAGGTCTCGGCTGCCGTGGCTTTTTCATCTTGTAAGAGGAAGTTGGCACAACGTCAGTCATCCTAGCTACCAACGGCCACAACACGGTGTACTCCGTACGAGGTATTGTTGCTCCAAAATCTGACCCAATGCATTGTCCTGTGTTGTGTCAGGACATACTCGAACCTTCCATGTGGTGCCTTGTGCCTCGCTGTGCCGCCCGTAGTCTAATGTTGACTACCACCTCATAAGGCTGCGGGACTGTCACCAACTCCGCTCGTCCAACCCCTCAGACCACGCGGTGAGACTGACTGAACCATACATGCACCTACAGACACACGCCAAGAAGGGGGGCTGTTCAGCCCTCTGTACCTCGTAAAACACAATGCTCCTAGGAAGAAACGGATCACGCCGAGCAGAACACAAATCGACATGGCTGGACGGACAACCAGAAGCATGTCACATTGGTTTTTCCGTCACGTTTATGCAGTGGGCTCTCGGGATTGGTGATGTCCAGTGAAAAGAGCCCAGGCCTTGATCTCCCCGTACACCTTGCGTCTGCGACGTTCTTGTCTCCGTCCATGCTTGTGCGGGCGGTGGCAGGGAGGGAACGAGAACAATATCTCGTGCACGGTAGAAGGGGAGACTAGGTGCAAAGTCCGTGGGTTTCGTTCAATCTATTGAGATCGTCGAGTGGACGGACATGCCATTCCTCAGGGACGACGGTGTCTCGAGCTAAGCAAACGAGTACGAATATCCGCCACGACCGAAAAGTCTTGGGTACCTCTCTTCTTCATCGATCTATCCCAGAACATTCCCACCACTACTTGGGAAAAATCCCTCCTCACGATTTCCTGGCCCCCCTCCCCCAGTGAGACTGATCGGGCAGTGGTGTTGATTACAGCCCCCTTTCCTTTTCCCTTTGCCAAAATCTCCCATCATCGTCGAGTTCACATCACATCAGATCAGCTCAGATTATACCCGCCACCACGACAAAAAAAAAGGGACCAAAAGTATACCCGTGTGCCAACCAAAAACCCCACATCTCTTAACTCGCAGGTGAGTTATTTGCATCTCACTGCTCACTCGCGAGCTCAAAGAGCGCAATCGTCTCACAAAAGTTTGCCTTGTTGACGCTGTACGGCACGAGGTCGGTGCCCTCGTAGCTAATCATGAACTGGGACCCCTTTGTGCTCAGGGCCCAGAGGTAAATGTCGGTCGAGTTGCGGAAGTCGACCATGCGCTCCTGGCAGCTCTCGGTGCCCAGACAGGCCTGCGTGTTCCAGTTTTCGAAAAAGTTGTACAGCCCGCCGCCGTACATGAAGATGGAACTCGAGTTAACGAACCGCACGGCCCAGGTGCGCGCGCAGTTGGCCTGCACGCAGTCCGAAAAGTCCGGGTCGTGCCACGACGGCTGCGGCGTAAAGGGCACCAGCGCGTTGGGGTTGCCCTGGAAGTACGCCGTCTCGTGCTGGATGTGGCCCATGAAGACGTCCTTCGCGTTGACGAATTGGTAGTCGTACATGACCGAGTGTTCGGCCGCCGTGCCGTACAGCCATACGGGGCCTTGGGATTCAATGAGGAAACCACTGCCGAGAAACAATCCAGGTCAGTCAAACACTCTTTTCTTACTTTTGCATTCGTGACTCGTCCGAAAATGGCCCTTCTGTCAACTCACCCTTTGTTGAAGATATAAATCTGCTGCCGGTCCGCCATATCCAACTCGTGGTCCGCTACCCATCCCCACGTGTTTTCGAAATACCCGTCCGCCTGGCTCGTGACGTGTAACAACAAAAATGCGCCGATGCACTTGGTCAAGACCGGATTCGTCCCCGCGATCGGTGTCGCCGGAGTCTTGAGACAGATGTCCTGTTGTAAGTCTGTCCCTGCCGATCCACCAATACGCCAGTGAGCATCCCACATGCCCGCCAACGCCGGCCCAGCGGCCTTGATGTTCCACTCGATTATAATGGCGCCTGGACACGGGCCCTTGACCTCGAACATGAGGTCGGAGATTTCGACCGTGCCGACTTCTCCAGGATTGCCGATTTTCCACATAGGCTTCGGGTTGAATTCGTCGCCGAAGAACGGGCCCGTCGCCATGACGATGCTCAACAATTCGCCAGTGATCTTGACGTCCGCCGGAACATTGACGGTCGAGGTGACGATGTAAGCTCCCCTGTCAAAGTAGACGATTTTGCCCGTGATATGGGCGAGGTTGAAGAGTGCCTGCATCGCAACCGTGTCATCTGATGAGAAGCAAATGTTAGACAAAAGGTAGAGAGGCATCTTTCAGCAATGACAACAAAGACACACCTGTAGACCCATCACCCACGAGTCCGTTTGCTTTGGCGCTGAGGAACCCCGTATCCCATTGAAGGTTCTCGTATTGTGGTTTGACGCGGTACACGTATTGCCCATTGCTGTCGACCAGCGAGGACGGGCGAGGGATCGGGGCGAGGGCCCGCTGAATGGTCGTTTCTTGCGCAGTGTAGGCCGTCTGGCTGGCATTTTGGTAAGAGCAAGTCGTGCCGTTGAAGTACTGGCCATTCAGCGCCCGGCCTGCCGTTGTCCAGGCATTTCCTTGCGCCCAGAGCTCGACAAACTGTTGGCCGGCGAGGATCGTCCTCGCTTGAGTGCCACCAGCGGCAGAGATGGCGACCCCGCTGCCGGTGAAGTCGACTCGCTCGATGACCAATGTCCCCGCGGCCTGGGGCGAGCTGAAACCCGGGGCATAGGGGGTGAGGATGCCCTGAGTCGCGGATATCGTGCTGTCAAGCAAGACCAAAGAGCCTACGGCGAGGTTGGAAAACCCGCCACTGGTCATGTCGATGCCGACATCGGAATTTGTGATGGTGATCTGAGTGAACAACCACACCCAGTCGAAATTCATCTTGATCGCCGTCGAGCAGCCGTCGAATTGGATCTTTCGCGTCGTGAACTGCTGGTTTCCGAGGTACGCCCCGATGGCGCCGCCCGTGATGACCATGTCGGAAAAGAAACCTCCCGATCCGTTTTCCATGTAGATGCCCTGTTGCTGGTTGTTGACCACGTCCTTGGACACCATGTTGATGACAATGTTTTGCATGCTCGTGGCCTGGGCCACCTGCCAGTGGATGCCTGCCGTTTTCAAGGGTGCGCTTGTCATGTCGATGATGAAGTTGCGAATCTGCCGGTAAAAGTTGTTTTGGTTGGCATACCACTCGGCACCGCTGCCGGACGGGATGTAGATGTCTGCGTCAAAGACGGCCAATCCCACGATATTGGTGAAATTGGAACTGACTCGGATGGTGGGTGGGTTGACGGCGTCGCCCACCATCTGCGTGAAGTAGTACATGATCAAAGGTTTCGAGACGTTATAGATTCCTGGTGGGAAATAGACCAGTCCCGGTGTCACTGTCGAAGACTGGCAAAACGACCCGAATGTAGCATTGCCTCCGCCACAGCGAGTCCCAGGAGCAGCAATGGCTCGGTTGATAGCGTCAGTATCGTCGTGGAGACCGTCTCCTATAGACAATGTGAGTATACCGGCGTAGTCTCGGACCCATCAAGACTCACCGACAGCGCCATAGGCTTTGACATTTCGGAAAACCGGATAATTGGGGTCTTGAAACGTGACTTTACCCACATGAGGCTTGTTGGCGAGCCAGTAGGTCGACTGTTGCGCCGCCGCCGACTTGATGCGGACTGAAAGGTGTAGGAGGGCGAGGACGAGTGCAGGAAGAGGAGAATACATCTTTGCGCAACACACGGCTTTCCACCGATACCCGGATGCTCTGCGATACTTCAGGATGAATATATGCTGAAGGTAAGATGTCCGATACTGTTGGAAAGAAAAGACTCATGACACGAGTACACGAGTCGATTTGAGGCTGGCCTGTGACGCGAGCTGAATCCCGAGACCGCGAGGAATGTACTTGGCTGGAATGTGGCTTTTTGAGACAACAAATTCCATCGGGTAGAACATAAGGAATTGCCACTTTGCCCAAGACGCCCAGTTTCCTCATCAAATGCCTGATTTTCGCAGTTCCCGCAGCTGTAGCTCTCCAGCCTGTCTAAAAAATGAGGGTAGTCACTCTTCTCCTGGTTGCTGTCAGCACAATGTTCCAGAGCACCTCAGCGCTTGCACTGGACCGAAATAATGACAGGTACGTAGGCATGCTCGATCTCACCGATCACCTGTTGCAGACTGACCCGCGATACAGCCCGGTCGGCGTCCACGTCCCAGACCACAGCCTCAGCCCGATCCCAATCAAAAGTGACAACGAAGGCAGCGCCATCTGCAATCAATGCACCAACGATCCAGTGATATGTTGTCCTGTCGAATGTCAGAGCGACGGTATCTGTCCGAGAATCGCGGTTAAGAATGCAAATTGGTAAGAGTGTCCTTCTGACGGAATTTGCTATCAGGTTTCTGACACATTTTAACAGGCTTATCGACGGCAGGAAGATCACCAGTAACTCGAAGAAGCATTGAGTTCTGGAGTTTGAGGACCTCGAGGAAACCGGCAAGGTGCTTTGAACAAGAAGCTGACAACCTGTAATGTCGAACGATGTTCCTGGGACAAGGGCTCTGCTTCTGAAGAACTTTGTAAGAACGAGAGAATAAATCCATAGTCTGTGATGTCTTGCTTGGTCAAATTGAGATGCGTCAGAATGAATACAAGATCGCAAACAATTGTATATTACATATTGTATTGGGATATCACCAGCAAGAAGCAATCCCTAAACACCGTGCCTGCTCGTCAGACTCGTTCGGTCGATTTCTTTCCTCCACCCACCGTGGTAGTAGCCTGATTCCGATCAGCACATTGGATTACTCGTGAGAAGCGCCGATGTCTATATTGTGGTACTTTCAGTTCATTCTCCGTAGGCTTGCTTGATCTCCTTTTCGAACCGCTGCTGAATCTTCTTCCTCTGAACCTTCTGGGCTGGTGAAATGAGCCCCTATTCAGATGGTCAGTAGTCTGTGGGGGGAAAAGAAAGGAAGGACCGGTAAACTTACGTTCTGGGGGGTCCATTCCTCGTCAGCCAGGACCACGCCGTCAATGATCTCAATCCCAGAGAGACCAGCCTCACGGCCTGCTTTCTGCACTTCCTTTAGGACAATCGCATTGACCTTTTTATCGTGGACCATCTCTTCCAGATTCTCTCCCTGAATACCATTGGCTGCCGCGAGTTTCGCCAGCGTGGCCTCGACTGGCACGATGATGGCAATTGGTTTGGCCTTGTCTGCAGCAGCAAAAACGCAAATATTTCCGACAACAGGGGCGGTTCGGTAAGCTGATTCCAGTTTTTCGAGGGCAATATATTCGCCATTCAATGTCTTGACCAGATTTTTCTTCCGGTCGATGATGCGCAGGTGGCCATTTGCGTTGAACTCGCCAATATCGCCGGTCTTGAACCATCCATCCTCGGTGATCGCTTCCTGGGTCTCTTTTTCGTTGTCCCAATACCCCTCTGTGACCGAAGGGCCTCGAATCCAAATTTCACCCTGGGGAGGTTTGTTGGTCGAGAAATACCCGGCGTCAGGGAAGTCAACCAGCTTGATCTCAATACATCCGGTGATATCGCCCAAGGCGTAGGGATCCCATGCCAACGGATCTTGAATACAACCCATCGCAGAAGTCTCAGTCAAGCCATAGCCAGAAATCATTGGAGTGACCGCGTAACTGATGAACTTGATGGTTTCTTCCGAGATGGGACCGCCTCCGTTGAAGGCAATGCGAAGCCGGCCACCCGTGGCATCCTTCAACTTCTTGAACACAACAGCGTCCAAAAGACCAGCGCCTGGCAGGTGCATTGAAAGGAGGGTCTGTTTGAGTGACAGGGCACCCCAGAACATGTTCCTGACTATGAAGGAGCCCCCATTGACTTTGGCGAGAATGCCTTTTTTGACGCTTTCCCAGACGGCAGGGACGCCGATCAAGATAGTAGGTCGGAACTCACGAATGTCTCCTTTGCAATTCCGTACCGAGGCGTCAGATAACGTCTTGGGGTTGCCGTAACCCATGGTTCCACCCCAAAACAAGCAGACGTTTTCAAACATGTATTCGAAAATGTGCGATTGAGGCAGATAAGTCAGCAACGCATCGGCCGGTCCAATGTATGGGGCCACGACTGTCTGAACTCCAGCCATTGCCGCAACCACAGCCTTGTGCTTGATGGTAACACCTTTTGGTGGTCCAGTGGAGCCGGAGGTATACATGATGCAGGCCAGATCTTCCGGGCTGGGGGGTATTGGGTCCGAAGGGTTCTCCGCGCCAGACTTTCGGAGCTCTTCAAAGCTGAGGATTTTCAGTTCAGGGTGAGCGGATTTCAGTTTGTCCAGGTCTGCTTGTTTGACCTCTGGTTCTGTGTTGTAAATGACAGTCTTGAGGTTCTTGACATCCTTGATGACTCTGAGCAAAGTAGGGATGAGGTTGGGGTCTAGGAAAATGGCAACAGATTCGGTCTGGACGAGAGAATGCTTCAGTCCCTCCTCACCAAGAGAATCGTACGCAGTCACTATCGGGATTGACCGAGAGGCGGCAGCATGTGACATGGCCAGCCAATGAGCACTAGAGAGGTCAGACAAGCCACAGATTTGGGGATACAAAAGACCTACCTGGTGGCACCGTACAGGTGCATTTTGTTCTCTTTAGAGATACCAAGATGCGCCAAACCGGCGCCACAGTCGAGGGCCAGCTTCTCGTACTCGATGAAAGTCATATACTCGTAGCCGCTGAGTTCGAAGTAGGTCCACTTCTTGTCCACCTCTTGCTCAACACCATCGACCATCTTCTTGACCTTCTTGTTTTCAACGTGCGTCTTGATGATTCTTCTCGATCCAATGGCTTTGGCATTTCCAAACTTGGCGGCCGCTCGTTTGAGATTGTCAAATACGGTTTTGACGTCATCTGAAGGTCGAACAATAAGTTTGTCTTTGGCAAGGGGATTGCGTCGGGGGATGGTTTCGCCTTCTTTCTTCTCGTAGCCAGAGGCCTCGACAGAGAATGGTGGTTTCTTGGTCATTTGAGGTTGGACATAGCCGTCGACCCTCGGCCGACTGTCATTTTCGAGCGACATCTCGGCTAAAGACATGGCCGCAATGCTAGAGGAGAGAATGATGGGATATGTGATGAGTCGTCGAGCTTGAGAGACGGTATCGCCGAGTGGTAGACACGATATATGGAGGAGGCGGGAAAACGGTGAAGCTTTAGGTGATGATTTGTCGCATCGACCAGAGCGGGATGACGATAACTAGAGGAGGCGAGTTGGTTCGAAGGAGAAAGGGATGATCAAAAGTAGAAGGGGGAAAGAGATGTAGCTGCCTGCGTTGCGCCCAGGACGATTGTGGCGCACCAAGGTTCTTGAGCGTTGAGGAATGGCACGAATGGTTTCTGTGTGAGTGTTTCCTGTGAGTGTCAGAGCGCCCCCCAACCTCGCGACTGCCCAGGTGCCAGGCTTCAACTAGGTACTCGTAGGTTGGCCGGTTGGTGCGCAGCCGGTGAACCAGCAACGAATAATCCGGGGTTGGGGGTTGGAATGAGCTAGCTTGTTACGTCACTGGCCTGTCCAGGTGCCTGCAGTGCCTGCAGCGCCACGAGTGCCCAGCTTCAGTGCCCCAAGCGTCACGAGTGACTGCCCAAGCACCAGCAAAGAGTCCATCAACCCCTCGAGCAAATGATGTTGGCTCATCGGATAAATTGGTCGGGCCCGCCAAGACTATCTACGAATTCACGCCGAGAGCAGAGTGCCACCTTAACTCTGTACCTCGTACAACTACTCAGTTCTTGAGACTTCCATAAGCCCTCGATGCTGAATCTTTTCGATCAAGAGCGTCTTACCAGGTGACCAACAGGCCCATAGTATGCCTGTATGATCTCCCAGGCTGCCATAAGCACAACATGTATCGTCGTCGGATCACTGCGAAAATCTCCACCTAGCCAGACCTCCCACCATCATTCTCACGGACACTGCTCTCTCTATTGTCAAATCGAATCAAGCATTAATTATTTCTCAACCATGTCTCCTTTTGGTACACTCCCACGATAATGCTCTCTCGTGCCATCATGCTTATGTGAGCGTATGATTGTATGATTGTCTGCGATTCGACGTGCATTTGGTTCCCGAAGCAACGCAGCTCTAGGACCGTTTCTGAAAACGCCCTTTCATTGAACCTCGTGTTGGTGAGCAAGCAGCAATGGCACACCAGTCGCCCCTCGCCTTTTTAGGCGAACCGATTGAAGATGCTGGCGAAGGTATATGGCAATAAATGCCGCAGTCCAGAGATCGCGTTCTGACTGAGAGCTCTAGAAACTTTCTTGTTGTTCAGTCGAGATATGCCGAGTAACAATCTGGGCTTTGTTGACCCCAAGGCCGAGTCTTTAGAGATTGAAATCGCAGGCCATGAGTACATTTTGCGGCAGTCCCCGGGTCTTCTCCACTCCAACAGACAGGAAGGGACAACAGGGGCCGTGATCTGGAAGATTACTCCACTTCTGGCGGCCTGGTTGGCATCTTTGCCTCCAATACTGAGCGGCGCTCTAGATGACACCGCAGTTGTGGTCGAGCTAGGGTGTGGCATAACCGGCTTACTGGGCTTGGTAGTGTCAAAGTTTGTGCAGTGCTATGTCCTCACGGATCAAACCTATGTGGTGAGATACCTGAGAGAGAACATAGCGACCAATGCGACGCCACCAAGGGAAAAGAAGAGGAACAAGAAGAGGGGCAACGAGAAAGAGTTGGCCCAAGAAGAACACCTCAAGGTCTTACCCTTGGATTGGGAGGCGGACAGTGTCGAAAATCTCAAATCAGCCATTCCCCCAAGTGGTTGGGTTGACCTACTCGTCCTCTGCGACTGCGTCTATAACGAGTACCTCATTTCTCCGCTGGTGCAGACTTGTGTGGATGTGTGTCGTCTGGGACCAACTGCAGCAAAGCACACTGTCGTTCTGGTTGCCCAACAGCTTCGCTCTGACACAGTCTGCGAATTGTTTTTGGCCGCCTTGATGAAAGAATTCAACGTATGGCGCATCCCAGATCGGGAACTTCCAACTCAGCTCCAGGATGGCTCGGGCTATGTGGTGCATCTGGCGACCCTGAAGGACGAGGGCAGGGCCGCAGAATAGACAATTAGATCCCTCTCATGCTGAACTCTTTTCAAGTCTCCAACAGATTCAATCTCGAATATATGTACCGAGTACCTCGTACAGGTAGCTAGCTCTATATACCCAAAGCCCTAGACCTAGTGAACTAGCGCAGAAGTGATCAGGCTCGCGGGGCTTGGCGGTGGCTCCCATTCGAGTCTCGGATGTTTTTGGGGGCATATTGATTCCAGTCCTCCTCTTGCCATCGACTGCCACCTGCGCATGAGCAAAAATTTATCTGCTGGTAGGACCTGTCTCGATACCCTCACTTCGTCCGCTTCTGCTGTAAAGCTTCTGGGATTTTTCAGGCTGTTTTGTTGTATCTAAGCATTGGCCCTATCAAGGGCAGCCTCCTCCAACGACCATGGACCTGAGAACCACGATCCAGTCGACTTTGTCAGCCGACGCAACCATCCGGTCCCAAGCTGAGACGGCCCTGAAGCAAGCTGAACAGCATCCTGGGTTCATTGGGGCCCTTCTCGACATCCTACAGTCGGAGCAAGACCCTCCAATCCGCCTCTCGGTCGCCGTCTACCTCAAGAATCGAATATCCCGGGGATGGGCTACTGAACACACTCCTCACCAGCCAATATCCGAACCCGAACGAAAACCCTTCAGAGAACGCTTACTGCCTGTGTTGTCCTCCTCTCCTCCGCAGATTCGAGCACAGCTTATCCCTATCCTGCAGACCATCCTACAGTACGATTTTCCGTCAAAATGGCCCGAGCTGATGGACATCACTCTACAACTGATGAACACACAAGATGCCAATCAGGTCTACGCGGGGCTGCAGTGTCTGTTGGCTGTTTGTCGCACATATCGTTTCCGCGCTGGGGAAGAAAGGCAAAACCTGGACAAGGTTGTCAACGTGGCCTTCCCCACGTTGTTGGGCATTGGGAACAAGTTGGTCAACGAGACCAGTTTGGAAGCTGGTGAGATGCTCAGGCTATGCGTCAAATGTTACAAACATGCTGTCTATTATGGCTTACCAATCCCGCTCCAAACACATCAAGCGACTGTGGATTGGTGCACGCTTTTCTTAACCATCATCTCGAAGAAGCCTCCAGAGAGTGCTATGCCCGAAGATGCTGAAGACCGGGAACGCAGTTATTGGTGGAAAGCACGTAAATGGTGCTACGCAAACCTCAATAGGCTCTTCGTGAGGTATGGAAACCCATCGGCGCTATCTCCTGCCCAAGAGAAGGAATATGGTGCATTCGCGAAAAACTTCATAACAAATTTCGCACCCGAAATCCTCAAGGGCTACCTGAGTGAGATCGAGAAATGGGTCGGGGGCAATCACTGGCTAAGCAAGCCTTCTTTGGCCTTCACCTTGATCTTTCTAGAAGAATGTGTGAAGCCCAAAGTGATGTGGGACAAGCTCAAGCCGCACATGGACAGTCTCATCAAACACTTGGTCTTCCCGGTTATGTGTCTTTCGGACGAAGACTTGGAGCTTTTCACCGACAATCCGGTCGACTACTTGCATAGGAAGCTCAACTATTACGAGGAAGTTTCGGCGCCAGACATGACCGCAACCAATTTCTTGATCGCCTTGACAAAATCGCGGAAACAACAGACTTATGTCATTCTCTCCTACGTCAACGAGGTTGTGTCCCGCTACGAGTCTGCCCCGGACGATCAGAAGAATCCCCGAGAAAAAGATGGTGCTTTGAGGATGATAGGTTCGCTTGCGTCGGTCATATTGTCCAAGAAGAGTCCGATCGCGGATCAGGTCGAATACTTCTTCGTGCGACATGTATTTCCCGAGTTCAGGTCTCCACATGGCTTCCTTCGCGCCCGAGCCTGTGAGACAATGGAGAAATTTGAGCAGCTGGATTTCAAGGACCCGAACAATCTCATGATCATCTATCAGAACATAATGGAGTCGATGGCTGATCCAGAACTGCCAGTCAGGGTGGAAGCTTCATTGGCTTTACAACCCCTCATCAGGCACGATGCCATCCGCATCACCATGCAATCGAACATTCCGCAAATTATGCATCAACTACTGCAGTTGATGAATGAGGTTGATGTTGATTCACTGTCAAACGTCATGGAGGACTTTGTGGAAGTTTTCGCAGAACAGCTTACCCCCTTTGCAGTGGCGTTGAGCACCAATCTCCGGGACACATACCTTCGAATCATTCGGGAGATTCTGGAACGGAATGAGGCCAGGGCGGCCGAAACCGGCGATGAACACAACGACTATCTAGACGACAAGTCCATTGCGGCATTAGGGGTACTACAAACAATCGGCACTCTGATTCTGACTCTCGAGGCGACTCCTGATGTACTCCTTCTTCTCGAATCCATCCTTATGCCGATCATTACCATCACCCTGGAGAACAAGCTCTATGACCTCTACAACGAGGTCTTTGAAATCATTGATTCGTGTACTTATGCGTCGAGATCCATATCGCCAACGATGTGGCAAGCCTTTGAGCTCATGCACAAAACATTCAAAGACGGCGCAGAGCTATACCTAGAAGACATGTTGCCTGCTCTAGACAATTTCGTCACTTATGGCCAGCAAAGGTTCATCGAACACCCGCCGTACCTGGCTGCTATAGCCGGCATGGTGCGAGACATCTTCGCCGACCCAAAGGTCGGAGGGGTGGACCGCATCTGTGGATGCAAACTGGCCGAGGCCATGATGCTGAACCTTCGAGGGGGGCCTCTCGACAGCTACATACCGACCTTCCTGGCTTTGCCTATGGAGGTTTTGGCCAGCGCAGAAGCAAAGACCGTGATCAGAAGTTACAAATTACATTTGGTGGAGATGGTGATCAACTGTCTCTATTACAACCCCATTCTGGCACTTCAGGTCCTCGAATCACACGGTTGGACCAACAAATTCTTTTCAATCTGGTTCGGCATGATTGACAACTTCCGCCGTGTCCACGACAAGAAGCTCTGTCTCGCGACCATTTGCTCTCTCCTCACCATTCGGGCCGACCAAGTACCTCAGTCGGTTCAAACTGGCTGGCCACGTCTCCTCACCGGGGCAACTTATCTCTTTCGAACGCTTCCCGCTGCGATCAAACAACGAGAGGAAGCTGTCAAAGCCTCTGACGGTGTGTCTGACACGATATCGGACTATGGGTCGGACGACGATGCCGAAGATTGGGCCGACGAACCCGGTCCCGAAGGGCCGGAATGGGGAAATGTTAGCGCCGCCTCCTTGCCGGACACCAAAGGCGACGTCAAAGACGAGTCACAAGCGTATCTGGACTTCCTCAGCGAAGAGGCTAAGAAATTTGGCGCTCTGGCAGATGACGACGACGATAGCATCCTCGACGATAGCACTCTGCTGGAGAGCCCGCTGGACAAGTTCGATCCTTATTCGGCCTTCAAAGAGTCATTGGACAAGCTCCAGGCAGAACAACCCCAGCTATATCAAAATCTGACGTCGATCTTGGAGCAATCAGATCGTGATGTCTTGCAGAGCGTTGTCAACTATGCCGCTGCGACACACGCTGCCCAAGCGCAACAAGCGCAACAAGCGCAACAAGCCCAGGTGCAGGGATAACACCGCTGGCGTAGCCATGTCAAGAGGACGCAAGACTTGCTCATTTCACTGTGCGCATTGTGGATAGCGAGCGAGTGGCCGATGTTAAAGATGTGACTTAATGGGGCTCTAGCTTCATGGGCGCTACGGAGAAAGAGGTGATCATCAGTTCTACTTGAGCGTGAAGAGCAAGCGTCATTTTTGTATCATGGGGTCCGGTTGAGTGGCGGCGGCTACCGCGGTGCTTGCGCCGTGTTGCTGGTCTTTGCTTGAAGGAATGCTCCAGTACTCTTTCTGGAGACGGGGGAGGTCGATGATTTGAAGGTTGCGAGCAGCACAAGATTGACTTTTGGAATGTCTGCCCTAAGGGTGGCGAAACAACAAGCTCTCTAAGGCTGTTCTAGGAGGGTGAGTTTGCGACACCATCAACCCCTGGGCGCAGGAAAAGATAAAGATACAACATTTCGAAGTGTCATCAATACCGTCGTGGAGCCGAGTCAATGCATGGCGTGAGGCGTCTCTCATATCTACACAGACACTGGACAAACAACTTCTGTCGGCCCCCAATGTTTTATCGCCACCTGATACCTCATTTCCGGATTCCAGATCTCAATTTTTCCTTTTGGGGAGGGATCTATCATGCATGCGAAGAAGTTAGCGAGCGAGCGCGAGTGGATCTGGACAGAAAGTAGCGAGACAGAGACAGGGAGGGAGGGGTGGGGGAGAAGAGAAGAGGAGAGAAGAGGAGAAAAGACCCAAGAGATAGATATCAAAGGTATTATCAATATCCTTTTAAACCGTCAGTCTAGTTGTTAGTTTATTATTGACCCTACCCATGGCATGAGCTTTGATTTAACATGTCTTTACGTAGTTAATAGCATCCATCTCGATTCCGCTCGCTCCCTTTGTTTTTGACGGTAGCCATCCGTGTCGGTAAACGCACCCCTTGCTTGCCTTGTTTTGCCTTGTTTTGCCTTGTTTTGCTTTTTTCTTGCTTTTGCTTCTTCTTCTTCTCCTTCTTCTCCTTCTTCTCCTTCTTCTCCTTCTTCTTCTTCCTCCTCCTTCTGCTTGTGTATTCTCCCTGCACTGATCTGAGCCAGGTCACCCTGGGACGGGCACGGACGAGCTCTTTAGAAAAAATCGAGGGTATATACATACGGTCGGTCATAGTATGGACGGTGACGAGCGCGGGTAATCAGTGTCAGTCTTATGTCAGTGTCAGTGTCAATATCGGTGCGACCTGCTGTCAGCCTGTCATCGGCTCAGCTGTCAGTTAGTCAACTCAGTCAGCAGCAGGTGCTTGCTTGGTTACTCGTATTGATTTGCGGATAGGGCGGCCCATACATCGATACAGACAGACGGTTCATACACGAGTGAGTGCGCAGAGCGGCAGAAGTCGTGTGAAATCAGTTGGTATCAGAGAGATTGGGTCTGCAACACTGCCTGGGCTCTGGATAGGTGTCGACGAGGT